CCTTCGGATTCAGGCATTATAAGTTAACATTAGGTACAATTTGTACAAGGCAGAAAAGTGTGAGGAAGGGGCAATAAGAGGTGCACCTGGAAGAGGAAGGTAGAGGCAAGGGAGACTTAATTAAGATAGTAGAGATAAATAGAATAGAAAAGAGCAAGACATGTTACTCGAAGAGATTAGTTTTCCGTTTGTGCCGGGAGATGGGGATGACTTTGCAGTTTTTACTGGGGCTGAATTGTTGAAGTAGAAGAGAGGAGGATGTGTGCAGAGATGTCCAGATTGCCTCAGGGGACAGCGGAGCACCTGCTGGCTGCACACAGCTGTGGCTGCTTCGTCAATTAAGAGAGAGGCACACTATATAGGTCTATTCAATACACAAACATGTAACAGATCAGACTGTGAGGCACTGACAGGCTACATTCAGAACAAATTCTTAATGAAAGATTACATCAAAATGAAGGAGATACCGTTCAATAATATTATTTTAATCTCATCATCCGAGCTGCCCCATTCATATATTTTAATTCCAGGTTTACATATTGCATTAATAAACAGCAGTCCTGATCTAATGGCTAAATATTAATCACAACAAGCAACATGTCAGTCCAATTTGTATACTGAAAGTTCTTAAAGTGACTTCAAGGAAATGCCAGAATGATGATAAACCGGAATTAGCAGAATTGTTATCAGTATTGTTTTCTTTACAGCTACACTAAAAGATGTTCATGTAAGTGCAGAGTAACTCACCTATTCAGCACAAATATTACCCATGTGAAGGTGACTATAATTGCAGTCGGTTAAAAAGGTAAAGAGGACAAATCCCAATCAAAGATGGTTGTGATTTCTAATTTTAGATATGAACCATATAGACTCACATGTTCAGGTATTCATTATGCTCTCTTTAATTCATTGTAAAAGGAGATAAAATATTGTCTACAGAGGTCTTAACTGATCCAGATGTGTTCCTTCTGCTTCCACTGTATCTGAAACACTGCTGACTGTACAGGAAGCTTTGTGTTTAAATTAGTCTGAGACTCAATGTATATTCCAATTAAATACAATCTTTATCATCCACATCCCGTGGACATCACTCAGTGTAGCTCTCTTTTGTCTGCCATAATACTACCTTTTTTATACAGTAGTATAAATAAATCGAATTGAAGACAAATTAAATGGATTTAAGAAAATGCATTTTGTATTGAGCCAAAGAGAAAACCAGCTCCTCACACGGATATATAGAAGAATATTGTTTCATTGTGGTTATATGTGTGTTGATAACATGCTGTTAAAGACGGTCAAGTTAGTTCAGTCAATTATAAAGTATTTTATATTTGTGTCCATATGCCAATATATTGACACTATGCACAAGAAATAGCTGAAATAACTGATTTATACCATAAGTAATCCAAGGCCGTCTAAGTTCATTTAGCCCATCATTTGAAGATTTGACAAAAAGACGATGGCACAACCTACTGGACATGTTATGAAACACATTTAAGGTTGATTCTGAAAGCACACTACACACAACAAATGATTATACTGTACTACTTTGAGAAATAACCTCCCTAATGGAAAACTCTACATGGAGAAAAAAAAATGCATTTACTACAAGTTGTAACTGTATTTTAAATGCATCCTATGCATGCATTTTAAATGTTTACTATATAACATGTGGTGAGTTGCAAGCTAATTTATTTTTGTATACATTGCATTAATGTTTCATGTAGTATAGATCAAATATATTATTAATATATTATGTAACGGCTAAAAAGTGTATCTCAGGCTTTGTACTATAGGGTGAATGTAAGTACGGTTGGTCCCTGCAACATCCACATGTAACCACAAGATGCTGCTAACTCTGCAACGGATCTGCAGACCATTTGTCTATTTTTTTTATTTTGAACATACACATTTTACTGGAAATATGGGGTAAGGTCAAATCTGTGTGCCATTATTTAATTTTGAATCGACTGAGATCTGCTTGCAATATAACACATAATCCCTCAAACAGGACTATGAACTCAATATTTATAATTGGTTTGGCATTATGCAATTACATGAATAAATGTGCTGCTCTACATCTTAAACACAATTGCAATACTGCATACAATACTAAACCCTATCCCTTATTAAGATTGGAGTAGATCTACAGGCAAGTTTTACTCTTAAAGCACGCTTAAAAGGTCCCATGTCATGCTTTTCTGGTTATTACCCGTCCCCTTGTGTGTTATGAAGGTTTTTCTGCATGTAAACGGTCTGCAGAGTCACAAACCCTCAAAGTACACCCTGTAGCGAGTAAAACTCTAACACAGAAAATACCTGTCTATGCTGCCCCAGAACGCCTCGTTGGGGATTTCTCTTTTTCCATTTTTTACTTCTTGGGCGTATAGTGACGTATTTCGGGTATAGTTACGTCCGCGGAGCCGTTACGTTTGGACAAATCCGCGGACTTCCTCACACACACACACACACTCGGCGGGACGTTGCGCGGCTCGCTGCTGCGAGGAGCAGGACACTGTGAGCTGGCTCACTGGTGTGGGGTCGGCGAGACAGCGAGACACCGCGGAACTCAGCCTGGGCACACACACAAACTCCCAGCCAGGCTGCGGGTGTGTGTGTGTTTCGCCCTTGGTTTCGCTGTGTCTCGCTGTCACAGCCACTGGGCTCACAGGGAGGGAGGGCAGGAGCTCCAACAAACCGTTTAGGACAGAGAGTGAATACACATAGTATACAGAGATGCTGTATGAGAAACCAATGTGAGTTTGGAAAATTGCACAATATAAATGTATTTTAGTATACCTCAACAATGGAATTATGATCAGTAGAAATGGCCATGACATGGGACCTTTAAGGAGTAGATACAATATAAAACACCTTTAAAATGTAATTGGAATGAAAACAAAAGTGAAAATGTAGCTTGAAATGTTAAGTATATTTATCTAAATGGCTTTCTTTGGGATTGTGGATGCCAACATGCATGGTTGGTTGTATCATATTGGATATTACTGTTCATTTCGTTGCACAATTAATCTGCTGCAATGTAAATATGTTTACCTATTTCCCAAAGCTACAGCTTCTGACGTTTGTGTCATCATACTGACGAAGCACCTGCACAAACAAAATACATAGGTGGTCAGACAAATAAAACCACAGTTCGAAAGGCATTTCTAGACTCTTGTGCACAGTGAATACATTTTTCTAAACTTGCTCCCAAAGTAAATGCACTCTTTCTATTTTGTACTGCAACGTTTGCACTGCACACCAATTCCCCAGTGTATAAATAGTTTTATATAATCTTATCTTGAACTAAACTAGAAACCAGAAGTTTGTCCTCAATAGAAAGAATACAAATAAACTTGTATTAATAGATTTTATGTTGAAACAGAAACTAATGGGTTGGTTCGGAAGTTGTTTTATTTATATAGGCTAATTAGTACGAATTTCAATTTACGGAGATATTTCCCTTTCGACCGCCATCTTTCAACTGATTTAAGCTAGTAGTTAAAACATTCAACTGTGCAGCCAGGGCAACATGTAATTTAAGGTTCCTCGTTCCAGCTATGAGTTACTGGTATCTTTGAAACTTCATAACACCCACAATTGTTTCCCAACTGTTCTGCTGGGGTTTTTTATTTGTTGTATTTAGGGGAAAGAGAAACAAATTGTTAGCTAGCGTTAGCTCTGTGACTACGATCAATCCTTATTATTGCAAACACGTGTGTCCTTGCTCTGCTGTCACTCATTACTTACCTTTTTACTTTAGTTTTCAGTCAGGCAGGAACTGAATACACTTTTGTGAGAATGTAAACTGGCAAAGGCTTCTTTTATGCCTCATATTTAGAGTCCACATTAATGTTAAATGCGTGTCAACAATTAGGAACTTTTTCAAAGCTCGTTGAAGCGGTCGGGTGGAATTGACAGGCTGAGTGAACTGCGCATGCGCATAGGGCAACCATGACAACTACGTTTGGAACTGTCTCAATCATGGCAACCAACGTTGCCAGCGTAACATCTGCGTCCTGTCTTAAACGAACAGCTGTGCAATGGTTTGGACTTCGATTTAAAATATATTAACACAGTATCATGTAGCAATAATAACCGCTGTATTGACGTAAGAAAGTGGTGCAAAAGGATACGGACTTCAGTTTAATTACACTCTCCCCTTTCCACCCGGAAGGACAGGTCAGTGTGGAGGAAGTAGTTTTCTCTCTTTTAGTTAGCATGTATCGTTATTAACGTTTTGACCTTCTGTTTAGGATGTAAAGGTATCTATTTAATGTTTTATTTAAAGGTAGACATTTATAATATGTTATAAATGTCTATTTTGTTCTATAATACAACATATAACATTTTGCCATGTAAAAATGAAATGTTGGGACATTTATAAAAATGTATTCCTTTACATAAAAGTGCTTTCCAGAGGTGTAAGAAGTGATAAGATCTTGTACTTGAGTAAAAGTACAAGTACCAGAGTGTAGAAATACTCAAGTATAAGTACTAAAGTATTAGCATCAGAATAGTACCTGAATAACTATAAGCTGGTGTTTTTGCTTTCATTTCAGACCTCGTGTTTTAGTGTGCTCTGGAGGCACACAGAACAATATAGAGGAGTACCCGCAGTTGAAGGTATCTGATAATAAGACCTATCTCTCAATACTATGATGAACATCAAATTACATTGAATGTGTTTGCTCATATCAATGCCTCACCTACACATCATCATCATCATCATCATCATCATCTAAACTATACCACTTAATAACAGACTTATTGTCCAGATAAAAGACAAGGCATTACAAAGAATAACATGCAAACACATGAAGTACATTTAAAGAGAATATAACCATGTTAGCATAACTATACCAATGTTTTAGGATTTTGAGGGTTGGATTTTTATTTTTCAGACTTTTTAAGCCTGCAAGTATAATGTGTATTCTACTCTAGTTCTAAGTAAAGTCAGTACATTTTAAACCTCATGGTCCTCTTTAGTTCTTCAGATCATGGCAAAACTCTTACTGGTATTCTGAGCTGACACAGTATTATGTGTGTGGATTTGAATGAATAGTTGTCTGTTTCCTTGTAGGGTTGGCTACCAGGTGAGTTCAGATACCACGTGTGCCAGTATGAAGAGGTGGTTTCACTGGGGGACCACACTGGTTTTGAGGCCACTTTGAGGCTGGATGTCCACACTGTGGAACAGGTCAAGGAGTGGGTACAAAAGCTGAAGGGGTCATCAGGGGTGACATGGAGGGTGGATGTTACCCGACCCAGGTTGGGGAAGCGGGTGCTTTTCAAAGTAAGTGTTGTCTTGTTGATATTTCTTGAAGTTACCTTTTAATTATCCTTTTTACTTTGACCTGTACTATAATAAATCTGCTTTATTTTGTTCAGGCAAGTTATAAGTGTCAGCATAGGGTGAACCCGAGAGCAGCCAAAAGCAGCAAGAACACCTGCTGTCAAGCAAAAATGCACACGACACTCAAGAGTACTCGTGGGGAAATGAAGTGAGTTTACTGATCCACATACTTATTATTTCACGTTTTGCTTTTTTTACATAATATTGATATATATATTGATTTATGTTATAGGACCGAAGACCCACACATGCCTGACCTACCATTTAAGGTTATTCTAATAAACAGGCACAACCACAATCTTTTTGTTGCGGACGCCATCCGCCACCGAGATGTTGGGTTAAAGGCAAACAACATACTCACAGGGCTCTTTGAAATTGGCCACACTCCAACATCTGCACTGTCGGTCCTGAAACACGACCTCCAAATGGAGTATGGGCAGCGTTATGTGTACGTGTCGGCCAACAGGGAGATTTGCCCCGACCTGCCTTATGTACAGAGGTGGGTATCACATCTGGAAACATGGTCAAGATACCTACTACCCACTATATAAATAACGATGCAATAAAAACTATGATGTATTCAGTGAATACAAATACGCTTTTCTACTGCATGTAAGTGACACCCATACCAACTAATTCATTTTCTACCCAGACTGTTCCACAAGGTGTGTAGGGAGGAGTATGGCACGCAAACAGGTCCCACGATGTTGGCAGCGCTCAAGCTTCAAGTGGAGAGTTACAACAATAAGTGTAATGACACCTGTGCTCTCCTGGGAACAACTTCCCAGGGAGCTCCTCTTGTGGTTGTGTGTTCTCCACTTATGAAGAAAGTGCACCAACTGAAGCACAGTGGGGAGCTGTGCTTCATAGATTCCTCAGGGAATATGGACAGGGAGAACTGCAGGGTATTCCTCCTCCTGACCCACAGCTGTGCAGGTGGCCTCCCTCTGGGCATTCTCCTCTGCCAGTCTGAGGATGAGCAGACTATTGCTCAAGGGCTGGAACAGCTCAAACAAGTTGTTGGAGAGAAGGGCTTTGCTGGCAGAGGACACGAAGGGCCACAACTGGTCATCACAGATGACTGTAGGGCAGAGAGGGGAGCTCTGGGAAAAGCATTTCCTAAGGCCACACTTCTCCTGTGCTTCTTCCATCTGCTACAAGCAGTTTGGAGGTGGCGATGTTGCAAAACAACTAGGGTCCTGAGAGTGCGGTCCCGGGAGTGCGGTCCTGAGACTGCAGCCTCCGACGCTGCAGCTTCATACTACTCCTGTCCGGTCTCCCCAGCAGAGTAGATTTCAAAGCAGCAGCAAGCGGAGGAATCACTAATAAATGTGAGTATTGGGTTTCAACTTACTTTAAATTAACTAATGTCACACACGTCAAACCCAAGGGGCATTAAAACGTACATTTTCGTTAAATAATACGGATAAATACGTGACGTTAGTGACGCTAACTAGCTAGCTGGACGTACTGTACTGTTGGTTCACACTTATTTTTAATTCAATTCAGAAGTTTACTAAAGTCATACAGAGATCTTGGCTCTGTTATGGATAAGTTATACTTTATATTACATAAATAGACCAAAGTGAAAACATTTAGACCGGTATAGCCTACAGTACGGTGGGATTTATAAAATGCTACCCTGACGTGTAGCTGCTGTTTGCTTTATTTATTTCTCTGACATGTTGCAATGTGTTGTTGTTTATTAAACTTTGGGACAACATTACAACCTTTGTATTCAGCTCATGCTGCTTTGAGATAGGGCTAAAAAAAGAGCCTATTTTAAATATTTCCACCAGATTTGATCATCTTTTATTTAGGTTAAAGTTTATTTAATTGATCCTAATCCCATAATAATAACACAATCAAAAATAGACAGCAGCCTTTTACTTGATGTTAGTTTGTGCCGTGCTGTCAAAGGGATGCAAGTGTGACTGTCACTTCATCTCTTTAGTTTTTTTAAAACCAAAACCGTACATCATTTTAAATAATCCTTTGAGGATTGTTTGTCTGAAATGCTTAGAGTTACATTTTGCAATAATACTTTTGCAACCCTGTGTTTAATATGATTAATTCACTTTTTTCGTTTTCTCTTGTTTTTCTCTGTAATTAGGACAATTCTGGAGAAATGGATCTGCTGGAGAAGGACCCCTAATCTGAAAAGTGCACAGCGGATCATCAGGACAGAGCTGCCATCCACCTGGACCCCCGTGGTGCTGGAGAAGGACCCCTAACCCCAGCGGATCATCATAGCTGCCATCCACCTGGACACCCCGAGGTGCTGGAGAAAGCAAAACGGCGATCAGGAACATCCTCCACCCAGACCTCTGCTTCCACAAGTCCGGTTGGGTCGGAAACGCCCCCTGCCCTCCTGCCCCAACCCTCTGTTCCTCCAGTGGCTCACCGAGCTGCGGGACGCCGCCAAAGAGAAGGGCCTGAAGCTGCAGTACGTCTACCAGAAGGTAAGACATCAGAGTTAAAGTGCTCAGGTCTTGATATGTCATGTCTTTATTTACTGTTAGGTTTTACAGTTATAGTAAGTAGTAATACCACTGTGAAGAAATACCCTGTAACCTTATTTCATGCAGTCTAACAAGTAAAAGTCCTGCATTCAAAATGTATTTCAAACATATTTACACTACCTCACAGGATATATTTTACTCTTACTTTAGTGTGTGTGTGTGTGTGTGTGTGTGTGTGTGTGTGTGTGTGTGTGTGTGTGTGTGTGTGTGTGTGTGTGTGTGTCACACCGTGTGTCACTGTGTGAAATAATTTCCCAACTAACAGACAGACATTATTTGACCAGGTTTTCTTTGATAAAGCAAAAAACTGAATACAACATATATACATTTTCAGAATTGCCCGTTTTATAGTAATACTACATTATAGTTTTTAATTGTAATATCTGATGCATTCATATGTTATGTACTAGGGATGGGAACGATTCATAGAATATTCGAAATTATTCAGGTATTCGAGTTATGAATATTTTTATTGTAATTACTTTTTTTTTTGTTGGGAGGGGTGCCTAAGTTTATTACATATGATCAAATGGAATAATTCAATGTATACGACAGTGCCATAGCTAAGTGTGTTATGTCTAAAGGTGTGTTTTGCTCCGCTCACCGGTCCCTCACAGCGGGCAGAGCTGCAGGTGCTGATCTCTCTCTCTCGCGTCCGGTTATACTTCACTCATTTTTTGGATTATGTCCAAATCCATCAGATCTAGCTAGTTCTAGCTAATGATATGGCTGCTGCCCCTCCCTACACGCAGATCACGCAGACTCAAACCTCATCTTATGCCCAAATTCCAGCTGAGAGGGTCTTCTCTACAGCTGGCCTGAATGTGAATCGCCTCCGCACCCGCCTCTCCCCTGAGCATGTAGACATGCTCATATTCTTAAACAAGAATGAGTATTGAATAGCTGCATTCTGTGCATAGGCCCTGTTATAGGTTGTTGATCTCTGTTGTAATAGGGTTACGTTACCCTAACCCGTATGTTGTTCGTGTATGATCCTGAAAGCTGTAGGCCTATAGCTGTCAACTGTTCAAACTGTGATCACCAGTTCAATACATTTGACAAATTCGACTTGGTTTCTATACTTATTTGAACATGTATTTATTTATTTTCCAAAATTAAATTTTTCTTAGTAAATATTTTCCCACATTTTATTTTTTTTATAGGATATGTACATTTCGGTTAATCGGTTAACCGTTTTTTTGGGGGTCGAATATTCGAATATACATTTGCTTTCAAATTCCCATCCCTATTATGTCCACACATATGGAAAGAAGAAACAGATCTTCATATAACAAAGAAGTCATGCACTTATATGGCAAATCCTTCACAACCTTGAAAAAACATGAAAATAGTAATAAATTACATTTCTAAAAACACCAGTTTTTCATATAATGACCTGTGGTTTGCATATGTTGTTCATTAAGTTTCTTTCTAGACTTTTAACTATAAAGCAGTCTTGTTAAAGTCACAGGATAACACACATTATATTTTCTGCTTGCACACTTTGTCTTTCAGTCGGCTGTTTGTGCAGCCTGTATAAAAGCAACCCCAGGTACAAGAGAAAGTGTACACAACAGATGTACAGTTACTGCTTTAAAGTCACTGATGTTTGTTTGTTTGTAATTCACGTTTGCTTCTGTCTTGTTCTGCAGGCCATCAGCTCTTTGAACAAATATCCATTGCCGCTTCAAAACGCCAAAGAGGCCAAAATCCTGCAGAGCTTTGGAGACGGCATCTGTAAAATACTGGATCAGAAACTGCAGCGATATCTCAGAGAGAACGGTGAGGAACAGAGGAGTGGGGGGGGTTCAGGATTACATTCATTCACTTACAATACAAGATCATTAAAGAAATACATTGATGCCTGCATTGTGAGAGGGGTGTAAATACAAGAGGGGGAAACTAGTGAAATTGGGAGCTATTTAAGAGTGGGAGTCTCAACAAATATGAAAAACATACATTAAAAAAACTACAAACAATACACCAAGAAAAGCCTGATGTAGAAAAATATAAGAACATATCAAAAAGCTAAAAGAGAATACATGGGTAGCTTTAAAAAAAGTTATCTGCAGTACTAGGAGTTATACCCAAAGGCAAGGCTAGGAAACAAATACTCACTTACTTCAAGCTGCAATAAAATGTATCACACTTTTCCTGTAGGTCCAGACGCTCCGATCCACTCTCTCCCTGAAGGAGCGCCCCATGCTGGCCGACAGGACAACAACAGCCTGGATCCATCCAGAAAGGTGTGTGTGTGTGTGTGTGTGTGTGTGTGTGTGTGTGTGTGTGTGTGTGTGTGTGTGTGTGTGTGTGTGTGTGTGTGTGTGTGTGTGTGTGTGTGTGTGTGTGTGTGTGTGTGTGTGTGTGTGTGTGTGTGTGTGTGTGTTGGGCAAGTTACTTTTAAAAAGTAACTAGTTATAGTTACTGCTCTCAAAGAAGTAACTAGTTACTTTATTAGTTACTAAATTATAAAAGTAACTAGTAACAAGTTACTTTACTTTAAAAATAATAACAATACAAATACAAGTTTTTGTGTTGTTCTGTGGCACAGTAAGACTAGTTTTATAGCCCCATGTACATTAGTTAGGTGCTTCAGGAGATTGGCATTGCTGTTATTCGACGTGTACAATGCTTTCTGTCCTGCACACAGTTTACATTTGACCGTAATATTTTTTGCGTCCTTTATCCCCACAAATTGAAAATAGTGGTTATATATCCAAGTTGCTGCTCTCGCTGATACTTGCATCTGCCATTGTGTGTGTGCTGGTGGTGGGCGTTGCCATGTATGTGTGTGTGTTAGCAAGTGTTTGTGTGTCTGTGTATTTTCCCCATAAGGCAAGACCCGCCCAACTCTGTTTCTGATTGGCTTACCCTGAAATGTTACCCCGCGTTAACCAATCATCACTCCTCTCTGGTCACTTTCACTTTTCCATGGTACTGTGAGAGGACATCGCCTGTAAGTTACATCCGCAGGGAGATTCGGTTCAGTAACGCAGTAACGCACCCATTTAAATCACAGTAACTATAACGGCGTTACTGAATGGGAATAGGTAACTAGTAACGTTATTAGTTACCGCAAAAGGTAGTTGCGTTACAGTAACGCGTTAGTTTGTAACGCGTTAGTCCCAACACTGGTGACTTGTCATTGAAAACCTCTTATTTGTGACTTCTTTTGTTTAACTTTCCTTGTAGAAGAATGCAGCCGGGGATCAAGGGAAAAACAAAGGAGGCGGAGGAGGGAGGAAGAAGAGGGAGTACATTCCCCAGAGACGGTCTGGAGGTTACGCTGTTCTGCTCACACTGTACAGAGTGTCTCAGGTACGCCTTCCTCCATCACATCTCCATACAATACCTCCATGTTTTGCATCGTGGCTTCATGTGATGTCTCTCTCTCTCCAGATCCCAGGCAGCAAAGGCTACATGTTTAAGATGGAGCTCCAAGCAGAAGCTCAGCAACTCTGCGATAAGTCCTTCACTGTGGTAAGTGGAGTATTTGTTACAACACAACATAACAACGCTTCTGTTTTCTCATGTGTTGTTATAGCTAAAGACGGGCTAGCTGCCTTTAAACCCGCTTATTACACGGCTGATAACCAAATAAATTGAGGATTTGACACGACTAATGATTTTAAACATGATTTCATATATTTGAAAATGATCGTTTTGCTTTCGCTAAAATATAATCGTGTGTTTTATGGCGTAGCAACTTAACTTAAAATGACGACGGCACTAATCGAGATTTTCTGGTGCATAACTGTCAGTCTTTTACCTCCTTTATATACGTTTCTTTTGACCTTATTAAACACCAATATGTTGAAGTATTGGATTATTGCATGTGGGCTGTAACAGTTTAACACGGGAAGACGCTCTCAAATGACCACGAAGCATTATTATGACACAGAATAATGAACTCTTTAAAGCAGGGGTGTTAGAGCCACAATGAAGTCAAAGTTATTATTTAGATTCATAATTTGATAAATGAATTAATGATGGAAAATGATTTATATTGCCATGGTGAATATCTTTTGATGAAATGATTCATCATTTTAAATCGTAAATATGATCTGTTTCCTTGTACCTTCCGGTGTTTATTTAAAGGGGACCTATCATGCTAAATGCACTTTTGTACGTCTTTTATACATGAATATGTGTCCCCGGTGTTCCAGGGAACTCACCAAGTGTCAGAAAACACAACCCTCTCTATTTTCCTCCATACCCAAATCTCTAAAAAAAGGGGCTGCAACGGATCTGATAAAAACTGATCCAGATTTGAACACTGTCCTGACGTCAGGACAGTGGCGCTGCGGCTATTGGGCCAACTCCACCAATCAGGAGGAGACAGCCACGGCCATTGCCGTTCGAAAGCGCTGGAGACGCTGTAGTACATATGCCAGGCCTGTAGATGGTGCTGTTCTCACTGAATCTGCCCTAGAGCTAAAAAATGTCAAATTGAGCAAAATGAGGCATGGCTAAAATGCATGATCTGTTTGGTATTTTGAAAAAAAAAAAAGTATAAATATGCCTTATATAAGTATGGTCCTACACTATATTATTCAAATATAGCATGATAGGTCCACTTTACGTGAGGCAATTGAAGACAGCCGCGGTGCTCTGAGACCTGATGAGACGGGGAGCGGAACAGTTTTTCGACCGCAAATTGTAAACCGAAATTAGTGTTGCAAATTGGACTGCAAAGTATAGTTTATATAAGAAAGTATATCGCCGAAATATTGATTTAGATTTGTTATTTTGAGACTATTTAAGTCAATACTTTTTTGTTAATAAATTACATTTTTTGACTGAAAACCTTCGGCTGCTTATTGCTTTGGATTGTGTGTCGTCAACCCCGCTCTATAGTGGCAAAAGGAAACCTTGGATGCCACTACAAGGGGTGTCAAATACAAAGTGGGCCAAAATTAAAAAATGGGTACTAGTCGAGGGCCGGACTGGTTCAATGTTTATTGCAAAACTTATTGAAATGAACTTATTGCACATATTAAACCTGGAACTAACAAAGCTTAAATTATTGCCTATAAAAACAACATTAAACATTAAATAATCAGTTGCATTCATTTCTTATGGCTCTATCTGCAGCTTTTCCGGAGTCATTTCTTATGATTACATTTTTCCACAGGCCAACAACAGCTTCAAAAAAACTATTTCCCTCAAAGAAAAAACAAACATGCCCTGTTGTCCAAGAAAAAAAGTGCAGAAGGAAACATCCATTGAAACTCAGTGTGCTGCTCTGTGATGCTATGCCAGATACTTGGCATCTCATCTTGGGTGCAAGTTCATCAATGTTTGGGCTCAGGCTCTGAGCTGAGGAAATCCTCAGGATTGAGTGAAGGTGTGCGTGCAATATACCGGCGGGCCAGATCTAATAGTAATTAGAAATGATCCTGCGGGCCGAAATTAAATCCATCACGGGCCTTGAGTTTGACACATGTGCTTTAATACCTAATATGAGTTGAATATGTGCAGTATGGTATTATATGCCAATACAAGATACACCAATAGACTTAAGTTATTACTTATTTTAGTTTTTATTGTTTTTCTCACCAAAAATCATTTGTAGAAGAAACTATCAGAAAAAAGTCAAGGAGTATGAAGATTATAAGGGTTAGGTTTAGGTTTAGAGTTAGGTTTAGGGTTAGGGTTAGGTTTTTGACATTTTTAAAGACAACATTTGACACTGCATGATTAAAGAGAAACAAACCAACATAGAAATTTAAATTAAATAAAAACATTTGTTTATTTATTTATGCTTTTGACGAATTAAGAAAATTGTACATCGCTATAAAACAAACGTAGCCCCCGGAGTTACCCCTGATGTCATGGTAACACATCTTACTAATGTTTTGTTTTTTTAATCGTACATTTTGGGAAAAACCCGGTGCTCCCGGAGAAAACCCGCAGATAAGTTAGTGGCTTTTATCTCCTGGCCTGCTGAGCTTGATTCTCCTGAACCGTTTTCATGTGTTCAAGGAAGTCATTGTCAACGGTGACGTTCTTCACATTCAAGCTGTTAATTCGGTCCTGATCGCCGTTTGGATTCTGAACCGCTGTGTTTTTGTCCCTCAGCGGCTTCACCTGGAAGGCTGATTCACTGACTTCCAGGTTGAGCAGTTGATGCTTAAAGTGTTTCTTACTATCAATCTCTTCGTTGGCATCATCCAGATTCTTTTGCAGGAGGTCATGTTCCGCTTTCAAACCATCCAAGTGATCGAATGTCAGCAAATGAGAACGACCCTTCCTCAAAACACCAATCTCTAGGTTAAGATCCACGAGATCCTTCCCCATGGCGGCACTATCACACCTCAAGGTCTCGTTGGATGCCATCAAAGCCTGATACTTGATCATGAGATCATTTTCCTTGTGAACCTCATTGCTCACACCCTGGATCTTGTTCATTAAAGCCTCGTTCTTCCTCATAACATCCTCTCTCTCAGCTTTCGCCTCCTTGTAAGAGTCCTCGAGCTTCATGAAAAGCAGATGCCTTTTCTTGAGCTGCAAAACTTCTTCTCGCAGGGAGACATGTTTGAGACTCATGGCGGCTTTTTCTGTCACCATTGCGTTGTAACTTTCCCTAATGGTGTCCTCATTCTGAAGTTCTTGACACAACTCGTGTTTCTTTTGTTGCAACAATTGATTTCGCTGGAGAATCAACTCTCTTTCTTCCTTCGCAATGTTGTATGACCCCTGAAGATCCTCTAAACCCAGAAGCCTCTTTGAAAGCTCAAAGATCTCTTCTTGCAAGTCTTCAGTTTGGCTCCTTTCCTCATATTTCAACTGGTTCATTTCGTCTATCTCAAACTGCACCGTGCTTTCATTTTCAAGCTCCCTGCAGTGATCCACTTCCTGCTGCAGAGCCTGGTTCTTCTGGAAAACCGTCTCTGTCTCTGCCTTAGACACTTGGAAACAATCCTGAAGTTGCTCTTTCCTTTGCTTGAGACACTCAAGTTCTTCCTCAAGGCCACCATTTACTCTGATGGTTTCCTCTGCGTCACTTCTCAATGCATCGAGCGTTTCCTCTGCAGCAGAATAGCTTTGGATCCATGAACGCACCTCTGTAATCAGTGCTTCGAGCTCTCTCTGTCCACATAGTGCAGCTTCATTCTCCTGAACCGTTTTCATGTGTTCAAGGAAGTCATTGTCAACGGTGACGTTCTTCACATTCACGCTGTTAATTCGGTCCTGATCGCCGTTTGAATTCTGAACCGCTGTGTTTTTGTCCCTCAGCGGCTTCACCTGGAAGGCTGATTCACTGACTTCCAGGTTGAGCAGTTGATGCTTAAAGTGTTTCTTACTATCAATCTCTTCGTTGGCATCATCCAGATTCTTTTGCAGGAGGTCATGTTCCGCTTTCAAACCATCCAAGTGATCGAATGTCAGCAAATGAGAACGACCCTTCCTCAAAACACCAATCTCTAGGTTAAGATCCACGAGATCCTTCCCCATGGCGGCACTATCACACCTCAAGGTCTCGTTGGATGCCATCAAAGCCTGATACTTGATCATGAGATCATTTTCCTTGTGAACCTCATTGCTCACACCCTGGATCTTGTTCATTAAAGCCTCGTTCTTCCTCATAACATCCTCTCTCTCAGCTTTCGCCTCCTTGTAAGAGTCCTCGAGCTTCATGAAAAGCAGATGCCTTTTCTTGAGCTGCAAAACTTCTTCTCGCAGGGAGACATGTTCGAGACTCATGGCGGCTTTTTCTGTCACCATTGCGTTGTAACTTTCCCTAATGGTGTCCTCATTCTGAAGTTCTTGACACAACTCGTGTTTCTTTTGTTGCAACAATTGATTTCGCTGGAGAATCAACTCTCTTTCTTCCTTCGCAATGTTGTATGACCCCTGAAGATCCTCTAAACCCAGAAGCCTCTTTGAAAGCTCAAAGATCTCTTCTTGCAAGTCTTCAGTTTGGCTCCTTTCCTCATATTTCAACTGGTTCATTTCGTCTATCTCAAACTGCACCGTGCTTTCATTTTCAAGCTCCCTGCAGTGATCCACTTCCTGCTGCAGAGCCTGGTTCTTCTGGAAAACCGTCTCTGTCTCTGCCTTAGACACTTGGAAACAATCCTGAAGTTGCTCTTTCCTTTGCTTGAGACACTCAAGTTCTTCCTCAAGGTCACCATTTACTCTGATGGTTTCCTCTGCGTCACTTCTCAATGCATCGAGCGTTTCCTCTGCAGCAGAATAGCTTTGGATCGATGAACGCACCTCTGTAATCTGTGCTTCGAGCTCTTTCTGTTCACATAGTGCAGCTTGATGCTTGGCTTTGATAGCATCGATGCAATCCAGCACATCTCGCTTGTCAAACATCTGTCCCTCGAGGGTCTGTCGTTCACGCTCCAATTCCTTGTTTGTCTGGATTAGTCCCTGGAACATCGCCTCTACGGTAACGTTATTTTCGATCTTCTCACTAAGAACCCTCCCTTCTTTTTCGAGGTAGGCACATTTGCGCCTCAAGACACGTTCCTCGGCCTTCAGAGCGTCAAACTGCTCCCCCAGCGCTGGAAAGCTGCTGAACTGTCTTTGTATGGATTGCATTTCCACATGTACGGTCTTGAGATGTTCTTCAACTGCCCCAAGACTCCTTCTAACTCCAGCGTAGTCACCTCCCATTTCCACTTGTTCCTTATTGCAGGACATGTTTTTTTAAGATGATAATGATACACACACAGTAGCAACTGGTAATACCTAACTGTTTCTCACGGGGAAAAAACAGAATTTCATGGGGTGTTCTGCTAAGCCAAGATATGCTATGCCTTAAAACTCAAACTTGTCTCCTTGCAGGTTCAAATTTGGAACTATCGATGATGTCACAAAGCACATCACAGCATCATCATGACATCACTTGGAATTTCTGCACAATGCTCACATGTAGAGATGTGGCCATGGCAACAATGAAGATGCATTCTGGGTAACTTTGCCCAGGCATTCCATTTTTGAAAAACAACAACAAGATGGCTGACTCCTACTCTCTATTCTACTCAATATTAAGGGAGTTCTTTGTGGAAGATTATATAGTGAAAATGAACACACCGATGTTCTGAAACTAATATATAAAAAGGGACTTGTTTTGGGATGTCCTGTTAACAATAAACCATTATTATTACTCAAAAATTGTCGTCAAAAGCAGAGAAAATACTTCCTAATAATACTCTTTATTCAAAAAAATGTTGAGTCTGTAGGCATGAAATATTAATGTTTTTGGTACAAAATTAGCTTGAGCACAATTTTGTATTGGCCATTTATTGACTGATATGACGGCACAGGGTACCCTGATCAGAGCGTCCTGAATATTTGTATTTTAATTTAGTTAACCTTTATGTGTCTGTAGCCAGATCTGGGCAGTAAGTACACGGCCTGGTCTTCAGTGAGCACTCTGATCCAGAAGAACCTGGTGATGAAGACCCACAACCCTGCAAGGTACAGAGGACACACACACACACACACACACACACACACACACACACACACACACACACACGTACACACGTACGTCTCTAAAACCCAGGAATTGATAATTGACTTAAGACGTCACAAGGATGTTCCTAAGGAGTGAATCATACTCAATGACAAGGTTGAAATTGTCACATCATATAAATACTTGGGCACCATTTTCGACGACCACCGCACATTCGATGGGAATACTGAGTGTGTTGTGAAGCGGGGTCAATGCACCTTCTTCGCAAACTGAACTCTCTCTGTCAGGCCGGTCATTCTTTGTTGTTTTTACCAAAGCATTCATTGAGAGCCTTATTTGTTTTTCTTTTTTTCCATAGTGTAAGGAATAAAATCTATATTTATATGGCGTAACTTAAAATGAATACACTGTTCTTATTTTAAGCTGCTTTATTCTGAAAACCGGATGTTCACACACTCGACTTCCGGTTTTCGCGAGTAAATATCGTCAACTTCCAGTTAGCATTAGCATGTAGCTAATTTTGTGTTTCTGTGAATTTAAGGAGAAATGACACGTGGTGTTGCACACTAAACACACTGTCTTTAACCATCACTTATTGACGCTACAATACTATTATTAGGGAATGTTTAAATGACCAACATATTAGAAGATTGTAAAACTAACATCAGAAAACGACAGGACGTGCCTTGGACCCGCCCCCGTCAACGCTAAGCCAATAGGAGAAGCCTACAGATTATAAAATGAGAAGCCAGCTGGAAGCCGCCCTCTTTCCCAGCTGTCCATCAAGGATAACCAACCATTCTTGCAATTTCATTGTATCATCGTATCGTTGTTTTATTAAACGCTGTTAACTTGTAAATAAGCTTCCTGGAGTCCTTTCAGCTAATCCTGAGCTCAGAGCTAAAATACCCTACAATAGCCTTACACTGAAAGACAGGAACAGCCTGAACAACATTGTTAAAACCTGCTCTCAGGTCATCGGAGTGAAACAGAGAGACTTAAACTCCTTTTGCAACCAACAGATTATGCGGAAAGCAATTCAGAGTGTTTTGAAGTGGAAACGGGGGCTTCCCTTTCGTTTAAATGTAGTTCACTCTTCCTCCCTCTTCAGGTATTCTCTGACAGAAGAGGGTCTGGCTTTAGGGGAGCGCCTCAAGTCTTTAGAGGGAACTAAAGGTCCAGAAGGAGACAGAGAGGAGGCCAGGAGTGAAGGAAACAAGCAGGAGGAGGGAGAGGAGGGTGGCCCGGGGTTTGTGGACCTCACTGTTAGTGATGATGACGAAGAGGAGAAGGAAGAGGAGAGAATACAGTGAGTGTGCTTCAAAACTTCTGGGAAAAAAACGTATCATTATCTCAACATGTAACTATACTCTGAAATGCATTTAAGTCGCACCATTATTTTCCTTTTGTCATATGTTTGTGTTTGGACTGATAGACTAAGTGTTTAGAGACCATTTAAACATTCAAGATTCAAAATAACGTGGTCTTGGTTTTCACAATCTTAAGTCCCAGCCTCCTCCAACAATTTACGACATAAAAAGGAATAAATATAGTCCAAAAAGAAACAGAAACGTACAAGTAAAATGCAAAAATAGGTCAACTATATACATAAATAAAAATACGGTGCTTTCTACTTTTATATACGACAATACGTGGACTTTACGTGTGTTTTAGCTTGTAATGTTTCTGTAAAATACATGAACTCTCAACAATTGTAGATTTATTAGTAATATATATTTTAGACAGAAATATCTCCATTATGTTTTATGATTGCACTTGTATTGTTGAACTGTTTGTAAATACAATAAAAGGAATTGAACCGTCTTTTCCCAGACCTACAGAGAGGCCGATCTCCTCTGCCCAGCCGAGGGTTGTCGTTCCTGGGATGTTCTTTTCAGGAAAACCTGTGTGTGTGTGTGTGTGTGTGTGTGTGTGTGTGTGTGTGTGTGTGTGTGTGTGTGTGTGTGTGTGTGTGTGTGTGTGTGTGTGTGTGTGTGTGTGTGTGTGTGTGTGTGTGTGTGTGTGTGTGTGTGTGTGTGTGTGTGTGTGTGTGTGTGTGTGTGTGTGTGTGTGTGTGCGCACGCGCGTGCGTGCGTGCGTGTGTTTCCTGAACTGTTGGTGTGTTTGTGAAGCGGAAGCAGGATCTGGTCAAAGAGCTGCAGATGAACGGAGTGACGTTCGATGTGAGGAAGCTCAACGTGGGAGATTTCCTGTGGGTCGCTCGGGAAAAGGTCGCACCTATTCCAGGTAACACAACGTAAAAAACAAATCCACTTTTTCCTGTCTCTTCTACATCAACATGTGTCCCCTCTTCTTCATGTCTCTTCTACATCAACATGTGTCCCCTCTTCTTCATGTCTCTTCTACATCAACATGTGTCCCCTCTTCTTCATGTCTCTTCTACATCACCATGTGTCCCCTCTTCTTCATGTCTCTTCTACATCAACATGTGTCCCCTCTTCTTCATGTCTCTTCTACATCAACATGTGTCCCCTCTTTTACATCAACATGTGTCCCCTCTTCTTCATGTCTCTTCTACATCAACATGTGTCCCCTCTTCTTCATGTCTCTTCTACATCAACATGTGTCCCCTCTTCTTCATGTCTCTTCTACATCACCATGTGTCCCCTCTTCTTCATGTCTCTTCTACATCAACATGTGTCCCCTCTTCTTCATGTCTCTTCTACATCAACATGTGTCCCCTCTTTTACATCAACATGTGTCCCCTCTTCTTCATGTCTCTTCTACATCAACATGTGTCCCCTCTTCTTCATGTCTCTTCTACATCAACATGTGTCCCCTCTGTGGAAAGAGATTCTGAAAGGTTCAGGAACAAAGATTCTCTCTCTTTTTGTCCTGATCCATTTTTATAAAAACCTGTCTGAAAATGAGCTGATCAGATTTTGGCCACTTTATGATTAGCCAATCAGCAACCAAGGTAACCCCCCCCCCCCCCCCCCCCACCTTATCACCTGAATCTCCTCCTAGAGCACCATTGTGTTCTTTTAACCAAATCTCTCTCAGAGGGGCGTGGGGAGTGGCTCCTTATTTTCATCTAAAGTAACAGACAGAGAATCAGCACTTTTGAAACAGGGCTGAAACAGAGGGGATTATGGGATGCTGCAATGATCTGTTTGGTGTTTCAGCCAATCAATTTGTAAACATGTATTCATTGATTTTTTACATTTATCACATTACACAAACACAACCGAACATTAGACATATGGCAGATGACAAAATAATGCTAAAATAAAAAGTGTGCAGTTAGTAGAAATCAGTTTAAAGTACAGACCAAGAATATAATTACATTTGCAAATTAACAAATTCAACAGAAATACAGCAAAAGCACATCCACAACCAGAGCTTACAATTCTCCAAATAGATGAACCGTATTCAACATTTCCTCACCGTAGTTTAGTCTTTTCACTTTAACCGTCCACCGCTTCTGCAATGTCCCCCATTTTTTTATAAATTCCAACTCGTAATCATTTTGTTTTTCTCTGACTCCAGGTCAGTTGCGGACCCCCGTTGGCCGTGAGCTCGTCCTGGATTACATCATCGAGAGAAAGAGGATGGACGACCTGTGCGGCAGCATCATCGACGGGCGCTTCAGGGAACAGAAGGTGAAGAAAATGCATCTTCGTCAACCCATTTATCTTTGAGTCACTCCATCAAATTATTAGTCATGTACTCCGTTAACCAGAGCCCTGCATGCTGACTTGAAATGGCTTGTTTTGCCAAATGGTCAATAACCCAAAGATATTTGGATATTATGTAGAAATGCAAGAAGATTATCATATTTAAGATTAGATAAACCTTTATTAATCCCCATAGGGTTATTCTATCGGTAAAGCAGCAGCAGGTATACGAGTGAAACGCGAAATATATCAAAATAACAATAAAATAATTCGGTGGAACTGTTAACATACATATATGAATAGATATGGATACTTAAAATGTATATAAATGTCTGTCTTCAAGTGCATGTCCAAAAGTAGGTACATAGGGTGCATCTTGTTAAGTTTAATTTGCACTTGATGAATCATTTGAACATTTTATCACATATCAAAATTGTTCAATCTTCTGTAATGAGTTTCTTTGCTTTTACTCTCCGTATCTTTTGATAAAAAAAACACATTTTCTTTTCTTTTCTTCTCAGTGTGTACGCCCTATACCTCTCCCCACCTCTGCTGCTCACTGCAGTAGCACTAGCAGTAGCTACTGTCAGTAGCTACTGCTAGTGCTACTGCTACTGCTACTGACCATGCTACAGATGTTAGTGCAAAATCTACAGCTCCTCTACCACAACCATCAGCAACAAGTGGACATGGAGAATTACATGAACTACATGTTGCTAAATCCACCGCGGGGCATAAACAGAAGGGCAACCATGGCAACCATGCTCGGGGGTCTTCTTCGCTGCTTTTGGTGTATTTTGTGGCGAAAGTACAGCGCCACTTACAGACCCGGCATATGTACTACAGCGTCTCCAGCGCTCCCGAGCGGTCTCGGAAGACTTTTTTGATATCGTATTCGGTTCGTTTGCGTTTCGTATGCGTTTGCGTGTAAATGGGCTCTTAATGTGCACTGCATTAATCACAAAACAAGATTTGTTTGAGTCTCTGATGTATATATGTTGTCTTTTGTATATGTGTTTGTGTTTGTGTGTGTGTGTGTGTATCAGGTTGTTGATCGCTTCTTTGTGAAGAGAGTCCAGGATGTGAGGGAGTCGATGGCCTACCTCACTGTCATGACTCGATACCTGAATAAACTCTACCAGGTAAAAGTTTAAATAAATATTTTATAAAAGCAATAAATGGATATGTTTTTAGCCCCTGTAGATTAATACGTTTTTATAATTTGAACAATTACTGTAGGGTTTTGCCTCAACTTCAATCATTTAGACATGTTTGTGTAGCCTTTTGAAGCCTTAAAGAATGAGTATATTATGTATTATAGGGGTCTAAGTCGGCCCCAAAACAATTGGAATAGTTATGATAAACTTTTAAATCTGTTTTCCAGAACTGTACGCTGACGTGTCGCTCCAGAGAGCTGGAGAGAGAGGATGAGGAGGAGGAAGAGGAGAGAGGGACCCCCCCCTGCTCTCTTATCTCTTTTGCAGAGTTCAACCACGGTGCAATCAAAAACTGTGTGTGTGTGTGTGTGTGTGTGTGTGTGTGTGTGTGTGTGTGTGTGTGTGTGTGTGTGTGTGTGTGTCCATAAAACCTTTTGCTGATATTTGTTTTACTGCTGAACATTTTTTCTAAATTAAAATAGTAATTGTTAAACACATTGTTTATTTCATTTACTGAGGTTTTAACCATTATTTACAACATGTGTACATAAGCAGTGGAATAATAGGATATCTCTAGGTCATTAAACTGTCTTAAGTTCAGTTTAATTTTATTGATACAAAAAATAGGTCATAGAAAATGTTTCATTGTGTATTTCAGCAGAGCGGGGGGTCACGGTGCTGCTGGACCTGGAGTCAGTGGGACATCATCTGGGCAGGTTTAGGGGAAGAAGGAGAATATAAACTGTTATAAACCACAGCTACATATTAAGATTAGAACACTAATATTGTTAAGAATCAATCTATACAACATGCTTTTGTTCATTTAAAAAAACATATTGTTTTATTAGTACAGAAAAATTAAGACTTATTTTAAATATGAAATAATATGATTAAATTACATCAGATATAATTAACTTGTTAACTTACTAATGTAACATTACTGGGGGCTAAAGGAACAGCTTAATCTTATTTACCTGGCCATGGTCCTCTTTATTTCATCACCGTCGGTGATCCCCAAAAAATGGTTAAAGTAAAAAAGTATAAGTAAAGTTTCTGGATCCTTTTCAGCGGAGTTAGCTTGTAAGCTAATTTGCTAGCAGGCTGCTGGAGCAGCGCAACCGAACAGCGCGTATCACGTGACGTTAATACGAAGCGCTCCGTAGGCTAGACCGTCTCATTTCGTAGGCCGCTCGGTCCAGCCTACCCGGTCTACGTGGGCTGGGTCCTCCGTGGACCGCGTTGGCTGTGTACTCCGAAGGGTGCAGCCCCTGAATTGAGACACGGCCTTTGTTTCTGATAGCAACTTTCTGTGGATCCACCATCCGAAATGACGTCATATCAGCATAAAATCTGTATCCGCTCGTTGTACCCCCGTTTTTAAAAGATTTGGGTACGGAGGAAAAGAGAGTTTTATTTTCTGACGCTGCGTGAGTTCCCCGACACACCGGGGACACATATGTATGTATAAAAGACATCAAGACGTGGTGCAAAAAAACACAATTATATATTTTCTACTGTTGATATGTATTTAGTGTCGAGTCATTTTCTTTCTAACTCGAGTGTAATGCCTGTTAACATTCTGCCCTGACAAAAATAAGAAATCCCAATTTGAACGAATAAAGTTGAACTAATCTAACCCAGGGTTGCCAACTCTCACGCATCTGGCGTGTGACACACGCTTTCACTCTCAATCTCACGCTCTCACGCTGCCCAAACTATTCTCACGCCAAAAACAAGAATACGAAGACTAGAAACGGTTTTGAAAACTTTTGTCACGTAGTGATCGTCTTCTCAATAGAACATCTTTGATAATGTCTTCTGGCCAATCAGAATCACGATAACGGCGTGGTGTTGTTGCAGGAAGTCCCGACGGAGAATACTTTTGCGGTAGTACATCTCTATACATCGATACAACATTACGTGTTGATAGAAATCAACACGTAATGAAATAAGACCCCACGGTTTGATGATTGATAGGTGTGTGGGCTGTCTTTCATTTTGACACACAGAACAATGGGGGCTATCCACCCATATCCACAATGTAAAGTAATTCACACAGCCTCTTCCCTCTTCTCTCTGTGAGGAGCAGCAGGTTCAGCTTTCAGAACAAAGTAACAAAAAAATAATATGGCATTCATTTTTTTAAATGTGTAGTAATAGATTTATTTATTTTTCTTCTCAAGAGAGTACCAGAATGTTTATTTTATGTTAGGATTTTAAAAAATCTCCTGGGGGAGAATCCCCCCAGACCCCCCTGCAGGGGTTGGGTTTTCAGCATGTCAACTCTTTCACCTGTTGCAGGATTGGCTCCAGGTCGCCCTTTTTATTTACTACAAGACAAATGTGCCTTTTTATTTCATACAGTTCAATTTGGATTGAGACAGGGAAATAATCTAAACCTCACGCATGGCGTTTCACTGTCGGGGGGAGCGTGTATGTAATTACATTGCAAATACTGATTTAAGCCCCACCACTGTATGGGTTAGCCCTACCATAGATTACCCAACAAAAATACTCTGGAGCGCATGCGCAGATCTAAGATCCAGTAGAAATGATAAAAAAGTAAAAGTCTGCTGCTTATTGTTCTACTAGGCCAACATAGAGTCAAAGAGTACAGTATATGAGAGTGAGAGTGTGTTAAAGCTCCCATGTCATGCTTTTCCGGTTATTACCCGTCCCCTTGTGTGTTATGAAGGTTTTTATGCATGTAAACGGTGTGCAGAGTCAAAACCCTCAAAGTACACCCTGTAGCGAGTAAAACTCTAACACAGAAAATACCTCCCCAAAACGCCTCGTTGGAGATACGTCACTGCCCATTTGAGTCTTCCATTTAGTTCCGGGTACCGCCTGATGTCATGCGGTACCCGGAACGAAATGGACCAATCCCGAAGAGCTATGGCCACACCAGCAGCGGCGTGTTCCTCCTCCAGAGGTTCGAAGAACCGGCATTTCACAGACGAAAGCTTCCAAAACATTGCCCAGTTTGAGGCCGGATATGCACAGCTTGTTTGGACCGTTTGGAGCAGGGGAAGATCTGGGTATACAACCTGTAAGTTTGCATTGTTATTTGTGTATTTATCAAACAAGACTGTTTAAATGTGTAAACTGTGTTGGACTGCTAAGCCATTGACACAGTGCTAACTGTGCTAACTAAGTTGCTAGAGTTTCCATATATCAACTCTAATATCAGCAGATGGCCTTGCATACATGTATCTCATAGCAGGAGAATGTCTGCATTCACACACAAAATACCTATTGACAGTATACTGCGGGTGATTTGCCGGTCAGTCGCGAAACGTAATTACATTATAGCTGGCGTAGCGATCTAACACACGGAGCTTGAGCTAGTTTTGGTCAGAAAAACATTTTTGTGATGCTACGTTGCTAGCGTTTAAATATATCAACTACAATGTCAGCAGATGGCCTTACATGTTTGTCATGGCAGGAGAATGTCTGCAGTCACACACACGGAATACTCATACAGTATACTCCGGTTTACCGTACATTGTGACCGTACATATACTGCATGTAGCTAACGAGGCTAGCTGTATGCTAGCGCAAAACAATGTATTCATGCAAGTTACATTGTATGGTAGCAGAATACCCGTATACGATTGCAATTATAAACACGTTATTGCTAGCCTAATATGAACCACTAGCTTTTGTTCATAGTAGTTTTATTACACTGCATTATAGTTGCCTTTCCTCCAAGCTAACGTTCATATCGTGTTAGCTACCAAGGTAAACAAAGCTAGGTTAGCATATTAGCAGGCAAGCTGTTCATTACACAACTACTACTAACGAATCTAAAACAACTAAGTTTCTCTAATATTTTGTGATTTGCATTTGATTTCGTCCAGCCAGATCCTGGCGGACAATCCATGACGGGGAAGGGATTCTACTACTACTGAGGCCTCGTGCTAAAAGGCACCGCACCGCACCGGCTGTGCGCAGGCAAGAGGAGGAGGAATGGATGATATACCGTGTATATATGTATATTTATGTTCATTTTGTACATTTCTAAAAATAAAGTTTAATGGAAATACTTAGTAGGCCTATCCTTTCTTCCCTGAATTCATATATAGCAAACCATGATTTGATTTCTCATCAAACAGTAGTAGTTTATAACGGGTAAAAATAACTTACTCTTTGTTATGAGAGTAGCTCGTAGGCCACAACGGAAAGACAAGGAGACATACACGAGTTTACAAAACCACGGCACATTTATTGTGGTAAATGCAAAGATAGGTGGTTGAGAGGATCGCAGAGTTAGTCTTCCTGCAGCCGCTTTGGAGAGAGACTGGGGCCGTAGTGTCCGGAGGTGTCCGTGATCGTGCTGATTAGCTTCTTCAGCTCCACCCCATCGTAAGACAAAGGCCCTGGGGCCGTCACACTCTTCTATAACAACAGTTAAAAATATATATGTATATAAAATATACCGCTGTACCGACGCCATGATAAGACTGATGTTACGCTGAGAGCAGCCGGGAAAAGCACTGACATGGGCGCAGCCTCTCTGGTGGTTGACTAATCAGAACGAGTGGCCGAGCTGACCAATCGGAGCACACTAGGCTCACAGGGAGGGGGGGGCAAGAGCTCCAACGAGTCGTTTAGTGGAGAAAGTGAATACTGCTGAATACACATGCTTGACAGAGATGCTGTATGCGAAACCAATGTGAGTTTGGAAAATTGCACAGTATAAATCTATTTTAGTATACCTCAACAATGTAATTATGATCAGTGGAAATGGCCATGACATGGGCCCTTTAATGAATATATTTGGCAGTTTGGAGTAAGTCTGTAGATTTGTTTGTGTGTGTGTGTGTTTCATGTATAGGCCTCTCACGATAATTAATTTTGTTGGATACATTTTCCCGGAAATTATTGCGATAAACGATAATATTGTCGGCACCGTTGTATGACCATTTTAGACCACTGACATAATGATAATATATAATAATAATTCAAGTACATCCTTTCAAACTGCTAGTCACATCCTCATGTAAATGGAAATTTATCGAGGTCAGAAAAGTTATCGAGTTCATTTTTATTTATCGTACGATAAGTCAATTAATTGCTTATCGCGACAGGCACACAATACAACAGTGGAAACAAACATGTTTGACTTTCATTAGTGAATGAAACTGTGTGCCCTTTATAGTCTGTGTCCATTATTGTGTATTTGTATATATTGTATATATATCCTATATATATGCTAAGGTCCCGCTGCTGACACGATAGCAGTCATGTCGTGCGCATATGTGTAATTAAACCAAATTAAACCCATGATATCACAATCTCACTCCAGCCAGGTACCCAAAGTTGGCAACCCTGATCTAACCTAATCTAAATGTATATAATACAATACAGAATGTAATTATAATATAACACAATTTACTATAATATAATAATACAAATCAGAGACAATATATATATATATTAAAAAAAGGGGTTTCACCTGGATTTAAAAGAAGTAAGAGTTGCAGTTTTCTGGGAGCAAAATATAAATATATGGAGCATAATAACAAGAAACTGCTCGTCCATGTTTGGTTTTACTCTGTGGACAAAAGGTATGGTTGTATGGTTTATGCAGCAGAAAATCTATATTTTTGTCCCTGAAACACTACAAATATAATGTGTTGTTAGGCACTGATAATACATCTTTTGACAGAGCTAAGCTAACACTTAGAGTAACAGCTGCCAGACACTCTGTACTGGATTTGCGGAAATTAAATTATTATCGATCTTCTGGTGCAAATCTGTTTAAGACGGCAGACGAGGAGTAGTCCTTTAATACAATCAGCTGTGATGCTTCCACTGATGTCTGCAGAAGATCTACGAGTGTTCTCCTGCATGCAGGGTTCGAGTTATGTGGGAGCCAATGGGAGCTGAGCTCCCATAAGGAGGGGACTGAGCTCCCACGGGCGCAGTGAAATCATACATCTGTGGGGGTCGCTAATACATTACCAACAACCATTATTTTAATCACAAATAATGCATGTGTCAATGTAATGAGCTGTAGAGCCGATGAAAGGGAGTCAGAGGCGGTGTGTTCAGTATGGAACTCCACACTTTTTTTTCCATTTAAGAGAAGACAAGGTAAGTACACAGTACATTTCTCTGAGTAAAATTGACTCAAATTGAAGAAAATTTTACTCTAAAGATATTACATTTGGTCCCAACCTATATAGAGTAAAATGTACTCTTTGTTCAGAGTTGTATTTTTAGAGTTCATTTTACTCTATTATGTGCTTAGATTTGACTCTGCTTAATGGTTATTTACTCTATGTAGTGTATATTAAAAACAACTCTACTGCCATTTTACTCATAATAGAAGGTAATTTTACTCCCAATCGAACGTCATTTCACTCCAACTAGAAGGTAATTTTACTCAGAATAGAATAAATTAACCATAATGATCTTTACAATAAAAAAGGTCAATAAACCAAAGTGCTTAAGGAACATGAGTGGGCGTGTGTGAAGCTGACCATTGAGCGGCCCGACCAAGCAAGGAGGCAGAGGCAGAGAGTTCAAATACAACCCGGTGTGGGCATTTATTCCTCTTTGTGGTACAGGATACACAGCCTCAATATGACTGTCTCACGTGAACACAGTCACCAGCACCAAGGATCTCACACACACACAGTGGCGACTGGTCATTAGGGGCAGGTGGGGCACAGCCCCACCTAGTGTCAGCAGAAAGTATTACAAATAATGATTACAAAAATGCAAAAAAATAAATAAAAAAATATATAAAATATATTTTAAGATCATGTTTAATCATCTGATTCGTCTGTACATTGCTGTTTTAGTCTGTGTTCTTCTAATTAGTGTGTCTACAGTCACAGTGTGTGCCTATTGAGCTGTTTAGAGCCATGTGGGACAAAACCTGATTATGCCCCTCCCTCTCGCTGTGAAGTCAACGGTGACTGTAAAAACTTCACTGCGCATGCTCAGAGTATTTTGTAATGTAATGTGTGTGGCAAAAAAATAATGACCAGAGGGGCACGGAGCTACCATACCCACCATACGTCATCTCAAATCATTCAGAGCTGATTGGCTGTAAGTACGTGTGCCGCGAAAAGTGTGGTGTGTGAAGAGGAGACGAGAGAGCTGCAGTGGCGCATCCTAAAACCAGGAAGTAAGCACAAAAAAGCAATGAGATTTCTCCAGAGGATTTTAGAAAATAGCTCGAAATAAGATCTGTGGGAAACGTACCTGTTAGATAAATGCACGTTTTGATTAGCCGGATAACATCCACATGTCTACCCTACTTTTATAATTTTTTTATCATAAATCTATGGATTAGATTTATGATAGACTTTTGAAACTACAAGAAGATAAGGAGGACTTTTACAAAAAAGTAATAGAAATGTTTGTCCAGAAGGATAGGCAAATGGACTTCATCTTCAAGTCAAGGTAAGACCGCCATTTTATTGAAAATGGGATCTTACTAAGAGAGAACAATTCAATATTTAAATGATAAAATTACATTTTTTGGGTATCCTTTTGTTGAACTGTCTGTTTAAAATTAATCGAAGCATCAGACAAAAAAAGCTTTTGAAAATAATATTATATTTTGGTTTAGGTCAAAATATAATATTTGTAAACCTGAAGAGTCAGTGCCAGTGCCTCACCAGCCATGAACCTCACTGCACGTCACTGCAGAAGCTTATATATAGACATCTAAGTTTTTTGTGCCCCACCACTTTTGTACATATAAAAACGCCACTGCACACACACACTAACAGGAAAACAGAACCTAAATACACACAGGACTAATCAAACCAACAAGACACAGGTGAGGAGGGAGGAGAAACACAGGGCACCAGGTGAACGCAATCACCAGCAACAGACAAGACGGGAGGGGGAACACTTTTCAAACTAAAACAGAGACAGACAAACTAAAACACAGACAGATCGTGACAAATATATGCATAAATTATATATAATCACATGCTTCCTGTGCAATGTTTTAGCGTGGAACAAATGAATATACTTCGCCAATAATGAAGCTATATAATCCGTAACGGAGACCGAGATCAATGGCCCCAGAGATCACCTCCGTTACAGCGTGGCCATGGTTTAACTCCAATAGAATTGACTCTGCATTTTTGATCGCACTCTAGAAGCTATGAGTAATAAATACACTCCAAAATGATTAAATATCACTATTTCAGAGCAAAATAGTAATTACTCTGGAATAAATACTCACCAATATTTCCTGTGTACATCTGCATGTCGCTACTGATAAACTAGCATGAATAACACCACACGGTAGCGGTCGGGTGGAATTGACAGGCTGAGTGAACTGCGCATGCGCATAGGGCAACCATGACAACTACGTTTGGAACTGTCTCAATCATGGCAACCAACGTTGCCAGCGTAACATCTGCGTCCTGTCTTAAACGAACAGCTGTGCAATGGTTTGGACTTCTATTTAAAATATATTAACACAGTATCATGTAGCAATAATAACCGCTGTATTGACGTAAGAAAGTGGTGCAAAAGGATACGGACTTCAGTTTAATTACACTCTCCCCTTTCCACCCGGAAGGACAGGTCAGTGTGGAGGAAGTAGTTTTCTCTCTTTTAGTTAGCATGTATCGTTAGCAACGTATCTGTACTTAGCGTGCTCTAAGTGACATTGTCGCTAAATAAAACAACATTTACCTGCTAACGAGTGTGTTCTACAAACCGCCTTTCTCTAATCCTTTACAAGAGGAACTATTCAAACATATTTGAGTTGTTGCTTCGATCGTAGCTAGATTTCACGTTGCTAATGGCTTCTGTGGATACCATTAGCTTATAGGGAGTTCTTTTTATCAGAATAATAAGTCAAAAAATCAACAATGATTTTGGCCAAAGCTTGTCATATATTAGCTATTTGTTATCGCACCGGACCAACACTGAATATGTAACAGATTGATCCCTGTAGTAAAACAACAGTAACACCAAGTTAATTCATGTATATTTGACAGCCATGGAGTTTCTCCCAGTACTTGATCCTCTTGATAAACCCAAAGAAGGAATTTGGTAAGTAAATTCATATAATTTCATTGTACTTATCATAGTGATGTAATGAGCAAACCTTTTACCCAATTGTTTTGTTGTCAACAGGTATTCTTTGATACCCAGGGGCAGTGCTCCAGGTGTTAGTGTGGGTCACACTTGCACGTTTGTCCCATCTGCAGATGGAGGAAAAGGAAGAATCTTTATTGTAGGGGGAGCCAACCCCAACGGAAGTTTCTCACATTCGCATATCATAAATCTAGGTAGAAACTGTCAGCAAACAACCGATCCAGACATATGATGCTTAACTGTGTTTTTAAACTGTTCACCAAAAATGTGTAAAGAAATATATTATGGAAGTAGTTTATATTGCATTCACTGATGAATGATTATGACATTAGGTGAGCTAACACAGCACCCTATTGGTTAAACATATTCATTTGTTATGTACTTGGCATGATCATCATTTTGTTCCTTTTACATTTGTATTCTCGAGCTTTCCTTATATTTGTGTTCTTTCTGAACCCACCAGATAATCATGAATGGGACATCCCGGAGTGGGAGGGTTTGGAGACACGTTATGAACACTGCAGCTTTGTGCCAGAGAGCTGCCCTCAGAGCTTGTGGGTGTTTGGAGGGGCACAGCAAAGCGGCAATCGCAATTGTGTCCAGAGCATACAGCTAGCAGGTAAATCCTCATTTTAAATTCACCAAGTAATCTGTCATCTCCATTTGTAGCATTGCACTGTTATTACAGAAACAGGGCTTAGTACACAGAAAGAGTTACTGATCTACTATATGAAATCAGTTGCTGTATTGTTTGTAAACTCTCTTCATCAAACAAATTCAAAGTATTCAATGGAAGTAACAAGGCCGTATGTTTTTTCACAGTGTTGTAACCAATGTTGTTTCTGTGACAGACAGTTGGATTGTATAGTATGTGACCAAAGATTTCTCAGTATTTCCCACTTTTTGCATGTGTGTCCAGAGAGTGAGTCTCGCTGGAAGAATGTAGAGGTTAATGGCAAACCCCCCGGTCCCAGGACATATCACACTAACTCAGCCTGCCTAGGGGACCGACTATATGTCTGTTCTGGCGGAGAAGCAGGAGCTGCACCTGTCTCAGACCCCAAACTCCATGTCTTTGATGCAGGTATATGTTCAACTATGTCTAACATCTCTAACACAGATTACATTTTGTTTTGACATTTCTTGTATAACAACCCACATAAGGTAATGTTGCTCCAGCCTTTAATGTTACATTGATTTTTCAGTGAATGATCCTGGGCCTAAAATGTCTTAAGGGATTTTTTTTAGAGGTACAAAAGGAGATATCATTAATTTTGTAAGTAACACCTGTAGAGCTATCTTAATCTGCATTAAATATATGACATATTTTATCTTTTGGTGTTTCCAGAGTCTTCCACCTGGTCCCAACCAGAAACACAAGGCAAAAACCTGCCGGCCAGACATGGACACATTGTTGCAGCAGTTGGATTAAGGATTTACATTCATGGTGGCATGGCTGGAGACAAATTTCACAATGACATGTACTCTCTTGACACAAGTAAGCCTGAACTCTCCTTAATCATAATAAGAGGATCTAAGTGAATATATTTCCTAGCTGCATTTATCTAAGAGGATCATACAGGATTACAATGTTGAGCCTCAGAACTTGGGAAGCTTGTTTTGTTTAAGAAAATAAAACTATGTGTGTACTGTTTAAAGGGAGCATGACGTGGGAGAAAGTGCAAACCAAAGGAGACATCCCACCAGGAGTAGCAGCCCACTCTACTGTCGTTCTGGGCAAAAACATCTACATTTTTGGGGGGATGACTGCAGATGGCGCCAGCAACTCCATGTACAGATTCAACACTGGTACATCTTTTTTTTTCTAATGCCTGTGACTGAAAAGTGTTACTTCATACTGTACATAACACTGACTGCATAAATAAATGCTAGGGGGCAGTGTAGTTGTTCCTGTACACCACAGCAACTTATTTTGCATTTGTATAACATTTAAATGAAACAGTGTACCTTCTGTTTGCAGAAAAATGTAGATGGGTCTTCATGAAGTTTGAAGGGGACATGCCCCCCAACCGCCTGGACCACTCCATGTGTGTATTGCCCTGGAAGGTGTGTGGTGAGGGGGATGGAGATGGGGAGGAGGCCAACAGCCCCGCAGCCTCAGAGACAATAAACCTGGCCTTTGTATTTGGAGGAATGGACACCCAGGGTGTCATTCATAATGACTGTGTTGTGACTGTAGTGACATGATGTTGTAATATTTATTTACCAAAGTTGGAATAAAATGTTTGTAAAGAACCACTCGTTGCAGTCATCAGCTGCGTCTATGGCTCAAAGCACAGGACAGTCATTCCTTTACAAATGCGGTTTAAATAATGCTTATATTAAATTCAAGTAATCTGCATACATTTATGTTGGGTCTATTCACCAATACAGATGCGGAACACAAATACAAATTTTATTTTTAGTGGAAATGTACAGCCCACAGTTTATTTTTAGGTCTGATAATAAACTTACTGAACCCCCTGCCAAGCTGTGTTTTAGTAGCCACTGGCATAACTATTTGTAAACCATTTAACTCTAGACCAGTTGTATTTGAACCTTACGGAAACATTTTAGTGCAATAATGTATTTGAATCTGACAGTACAGTAATTAGCAAAGCTGTCTTTCATAACTGTATGCAATAAATCAAATGCATGAGAAATAAATAGAATATTTCAATTAATTTTCAATATAGGATGTGTCCATTTTGGAAACACTAAAACTGGCTAGAGGTCAATCCTTTCTTTATAAACCCTCTGTTAATGAAACAAAATGTAATTAATTGAAGCATAAATATTTGTGCTAAGAAAAAAAGTTGGACATTAATGCATTGTAATTTGCACAGTGCACACGCTTGCATGACAAAAACATGCTTTGATCTTTCAATTATATATGAATGTAAAAAAGAGGACAAATCAAGTATCATTTTGTATCAAACATTTATTTCAATGTCTTTCCTGAAGTACAATGACCAGATTCAATAAATAACTTTTAGTGATGCCTGTGAACATAACAATCTCTTGATCTCACAGACACTGAATGGACCCATGAACACCTGTCCCCACCCCCCCACCCACAACAGAACCCCATCAGGACTGCCTGAGAACAGCAGCAGCTAGCCTCATATCCGGGCTGACGAATATCTCCGCCTCACAGCGAAGAGAACACCTTTCACTGAAACTCATCTTAAAGTCTTTCAGAAGATTCAGAATGGTTGCTTGTTATCGCCACCCCTTCCCAACCATTCCTCTCACTATTGAGTCCCATCAGTCCAATATATACACATCTAGATGTAACTACCAGAGAGGCAAGGGGTGGCAGAAGACTTGAATCCTGCCTACAACTCATCCTTCTCCTCTTGCTCACCCTCGGCTCCCTCAGGTGGTGGTGCGCCCGCACTACCGTAAAGCTTGCTGATAATGGGTTGTACCACCTCCTCCAGCTCCTTCTTCTTAGCCTGGAAATCTTCTAGCTCAGCTTCCTGGTGGGACTCCATCCACTCAATCTTCTCCTCCACTGCCTTCTCGATGATTTCCTTATCTTCATCAGACAGCTTGCCGCCAAGCTTCTCCTTGTCGCCGATCTGGTTCTTCAGGGAGTAGGCGTAGCTCTCCAGCTCGTTGCGAGAGTCGATCCTCTCCTTGAGCTTCTTGTCCTCATCAGCGAAGCGCTCGGCTTCGTTCACCATGCGCTCAATATCCTCAGGGGTAAGACGGTTCTGGTCGTTTGTAATTGTAATCTTATTCTTGTTGCCTGTGCCTTTGTCCTCAGCGGTGACACGCAGAATACCGTTGACATCAATCTCAAAGGTGACCTCAATCTGTGGTACACCACGAGGGGCAGGGGGGATGCCAGTCAGGTCGAAAGTGCCCAACAGATGGTTGTCTTTTGTCAGAGGACGCTCACCTATGGAGAAAATGGACGATTAAGCTGGAGCAATATTTCATTTCTGTCTGCAAAAAATAAAATGACACATGTTCAATTATGTTTGGCAAATGTACTCTTGTCTTACCTTCATAAACTTTGATGGTGACAGTAGGCTGGTTATCAGAGGCTGTAGAGAAGATCTGGGATTTCTTTGTGGGCACCACTGTGTTCCTGGGGATCAGCTTGGTCATTACTCCACCAACAGTCTCAATACCAAGAGTCAGGGGGCACACATCGAGAAGAACCAGATCACCTGCAAGAGAGGAAAATGTTTAGTTAACAAAATAAAGTTGGCAAGCTGCAACCGGTCAAATATACACTACAGTGTATAATGAAGATTACATACCAGTGTCCTCCTCTCCAGACAGCACTCCAGCCTGCACAGCTGCTCCGTATGCCACAGCCTCGTCAGGGTTGATGCCTCTAGAGGGCTCTTTGCCATTGAAGAACTCCTTCACCAGCTGCTGGATTTTGGGGATACGGGTGGAGCCTCCAACCAGCACAATCTCATCAATGTCGGACTTCTTCAGGTCAGAATCTTCCATTACCTTCTGTACAGGCTTCATGGTGGAACGGAACAGGTCCTGGAAAAGTAAAAAAGGCAAGGTTAAAAAAAGGTGAACATAAGGTTTTATTTTTAGCTTGTATGCAACTGGAATGAAACTTACCATGTTGAGCTCTTCAAACTTGGCGCGGGTCAGGGTCTCAGAGAAGTCCTCTCCCTCAAAGAAAGACTCGATCTCAATGCGGGCCTGGTGCTGGGCAGACAGCCCCCTCTTTGCCTTCTCAACCTCACGACGCAGCTTCTGCACAGCACGGTTGTCTTTGCGGACATCTTTGCCAGTCTTCTTCTTGTACAGCTTGATGAAGTGCTCCATGACACGCTGGTCGAAGTCTTCACCTCCAAGATGAGTGTCACCATTGGTGGCAACCACTTCAAACACACCATTGTCAATGGTCAGAAGGGAGACATCGAAGGTGCCACCGCCCAGATCGAACACCAGAATGTTCTTCTCGCCGTCCTTCTTGTCCAGACCATAAGCGATGGCAGCAGCAGTTCTAAAGAATACAATTAAATATTATAATACAGGAAGGGGGGGAAATATTTTCCCAATTAAAAAAAAAAAGGGAAATGGATGAATAAATCATTAGACACTTACGGCTCATTGATGATTCTCATAACAATCAGACCAGCGATGGTTCCAGCATCCTTAGTTGCCTGGCGCTGGGCATCATTGAAGTAGGCAGGGACAGTTACCACAGCATGTGTGACCTGAGGGAAAGATGAAAATGTTAAATTATTGATAAAATGAACATGTTTATTTAAAAGTAGTTTAACCTTTGACAAACATTATCTTTCCGGTTTTTGTACCTTCTTGCCCAGATAAGCCTCAGCAGTCTCCTTCATCTTGGTCAGCACCATGGCGGAGATTTCCTCTGGAGCGAAAGTCTTCATCACGCCACCTCCAATGTCAACCTGAATATGAGGCTTGCTCTTCTTCTCAGTAACCTAAAAGAGGAACATGTATCCATATTAGTATAAATATAAAAGTGTATTGCTCAATCTTTACACCTTTAGACAGATAATTGTTGTTGCATTTAGTTGGGCTGCACTGTAATGCATAATAAAAACTCACCTTGAAGGGAAAGTACTTGACATCAGATTGCACAGTAGAGTCTGACCAAGTGCGCCCAATCAATCTCTTGGCATCAAAGACGGTGTTCTCAGGGTTAGAGGTCAGCTGGTTCTTGGCGGCATCACCAATCAGACGCTCACCCTCTGCCGTGAAGGCAACATATGATGGGGTGATACGGTTACCCTGGTCATTGGCGATGATCTCCACACGGCCATTCTTGAAAACTCCAACACTACAGGAAAACATGAAACAAATTCAAATCACTCAATAGTCATTTCACAATTTGCAAGTTGTATCATATCACTGTCCTCTAAGGCCATGAAGCCTGAGGGCTTTTGATTTTTTTTAATCTTACCAAGAGTAGGTGGTCCCCAGGTCGATTCCAACCACAGTCCCTACACTCTCCCTCTTGTCGTCGTCATCGGCAATTACTGTGCCGGCCACCAGCATTACTACCCACATCAACTTCATCTTTGCTTGATTGAACTCTGATCTACAGAAGAAATCTGGGGGAAATAAAAAACAGTGTTAACAAACGTGTCTTTTCTCGTCATTACATGTGCTTGCTGTCTACAAAGTTCAGGTCGCCAACTTAACAGCTAATGGTAGAGTTAGATAGATAGTGTCATACACTATACATGTATAGACCTATGATAGATGGGAAATGTAACCTTTACTTAGAAATCCCCGAAAATGTCAAATATAAGCGTTGAAAGACTATGGGTAATGTGGGTGGAGCCCGATTGCCTCTTCAGAGTGCTAACACCACTGTCTCCTTTCTTTTTTTTTATTCGCCGGTAGCTAGCTACCCACGTTAGCGTGCCTAGCAGACATGCCAGGAAAAAATGCTTTGCCATAAGGAGCTCTTAAAAACAAGTTTTAATGCATGGTATATCACAAATCAGTGTCTTCTCTTCATAATTAAAAGACTAATGTAAACTTAACATCGTCAAATTTGGCAGGTTTATCGTAATGAAACTAATAAAATGAGGACCAACGCTGTGTCACAAAATATTACATTGTCTCACATTCATATTCACAACAATGCGTATACATACCTTAATTGCAGTTTTGTCAATGAATTAACGGCCTTGGCGTTGCCTCAACTGGTTCCAGCCTCTTATAGCGGTGTATCTCTCAGTTTCGGTGTATTCTGTATTCTTGCCTCTGTGTAATGATGTTGAATGAACCGTGCTCTCTTCATATATAAGCCGTCACTTCTTTCCCATCGTGGAGGCACGCCATTGGCTGAGCAGCTGTTCGTTGGAACGTGCTGATTGGTTTCCACCGGCACGCTGTCGGCCGCTGATTTGCACACATCGGGTCGAGGACACGTCACGGCTTTTGCCCACCGTGCGGATGCTGATTGGCTGTCTGTCAAGTGTATTCATGAACACAGTTGGAGCAATGACACGCCACTCTAAAGATTGAGGAAGGGTGCATTTTCACATTTTGTACATTTGAAGTTACTCCTGTTTTTTTTAAGAATAATGGGCCCACATTAATTGGACTGACGTTCATTCTCATGTTGCAACTGCGTTCATGTAGACTACATGATGTAGTGTTGGTATCATTAGTAGTTGTGATGACACAATCATGAGTAAGAAATGTGCAAACACTGTGTAATATGCATGTAAATAGCCTAAGAGCAAAGTGTGTTACATCAGATGAACTGGATTGTCAGGACATTTCATCAGATAATGTAAACACAAATGATGGCTTAACACATCCACCTTTAAATTAAACCTGCCTAATTTGACTATCTAGTTTTAACTTGTGTGTTTTATTGATCACAAATTGATCACAGATGTATGTTATTGCCTAATACAACGTAGGTTAAGCAGGTTACAATACATATCAAACAAAACCACATACACTGGATTATCTTAAACAATCTTCTATATCAAAAGTATAAATAGGTCAGGGTTAAGTAACTGGTTGCCAAGGCCACACTTCAGTGTTTATGAACACTTTTTAAAATCTGTATGCTAGCTTTAATATAGGATATTAAAGAAAGTACTGTAACTACACAATCGCATGTATTTGTCATTGTAATGTTTACAGTACCTGTTCTGTATTTTCAACAAACACCCAGCCCTCTTTTGTTGTAGCCTATAGTTGCAGGCCATGTCATGCTTAGGCCTACTTGGTATGTCAGGCTAAGTGATAATTACCAAAAAACTCTATCACTGTGCTGAGTTTAATTCAGTTCAGTTTCCAAAGCAAATCATCTTGTTTGAACTGGTTGCCAAGGCCACACTTCAGTGTTTATGAACATTTTTAAAAATCTGTATATGTATGCTAGCTTTAATATAGGATATTAAAGAAAGTACTGTAACTACACAATCACATGTATTTGTCATTGTAATGTTTACAGTACCTGTTATGTATTTTCAACAAACACCCAGCCCTCTTTTGTTGTAGCCTATAGTTGCAGGCCGTGTCATGCTTAGGCCTACTTGGTATGTCAGGCTAAGTGATAATTACCAAAAAACTCTATCACTGTGCTGAGTTTAATTCAGTTCAGTTTCCAAAGCAAATCATCTTGTTTGAAGATTTCTGAATTAAGTATTGTACATGCATCAGGAAAATTACATAAGTAACAATTAATAAAAGGAAAATCCATGGAACAGATAGTTTGGTTTGAGAGGTTTTTCTAACAGGGTAACATCAACAACATTATTATTATTAGGAACTGCAGAATCAAGGAAAAAAATATCATTTTGACCCTCAGATGTCTCTTGCTTTCTGCTGACTTATGTCTCCAAGTTCCATTTAGCCAAGTTAAGGTCTCCTTTTAAAGTCCCTCCATGGTTGGAGTGCTGAGGGTCAGACTGGAAGTAAGGAAACATTGTAAATTATATGTCCTTTGTTTTATTTGTCGTTGACAGTATATTACATCTTATATTCAAGATTCAAATATTTAAAGACTTTGTTGTCATTTGCACAATAGCTACAGCTTAGTTGTTGGCATTAACACATATAGGTTCCAGGCTCCTTCCACAGTGCAACATACAATACACTTAAGACATACAAGAAATAAGGAATAGGTATGGACATGTAAAATAGTACTGGATAAGCCAGAATGTAAATGTAAATACTGTACAATGGCATAGTACTGCTCTTTTAATGATATATAAATATGTAAACTGTAAGTGTACTGATTTTGACTTTAAACTTTAAAGAGTTGCACATTTCTGAACAATGTTACCTTTTTTAAAAACTGTGTAGCTCAACATTTTAAACTCTGAGATACTTGTCATATTAAAACATTTTTGAGAATTGTTCAAACTTAGTTTGTTGTATCATGTCAATACATGTTACTAGGAACACACCAAGTGTATCCTGCTTAGTGATTTATACATTTCTGATGTATTTGCTTTAAACAAATGAAGGAATAGGCACTTTACTGAGCTTAGGGAATGTAATAGTTCTTACCTTTCATATATTGCAGACATATCAACAACATTAATTATATAGGCATGTGCATATTTATAATAAAAAATGTTATCAAACACAAATTAGGTTGGTTTTGATTCTTCCCACCATGCATGTCCCTCCCGGGGCTCCGTAGGTTTGTGTCCAAATCCAACTGCATGAAGGAGATTTTTTTTTACCCAGCCTGCGACCCCTACCGGCAGCTGGTAGTTACACCAACAGACAGCAAACTGGTGACGTGGTTCGGTCCGTTGACCAGAGCAGCAGCAGTAGCAGTATGGCCGACCAGAGCAGGCAAATAAAACTCGCTGCAGCTAAGAAAAAGGTACAGTATTTGACTACTGATCCGGCTTTACAACATGGGAAGTGCTGGTCCTGTTTCTCCTCTGCGGGTTTGGTTGCCGGTGTTTTCTTTCGTGTTGTTATTCATTTCTGCACGGAGAAGGGGTGTTGTCATTACACGTCGCCCGACCTCTGCGCTGATGCTTGTACCGCCTCCCTTGCTCTTCTCGAGGCTTCAATGCGCTGGAGAGACCGGTGCTTCTTAGGGGCCTGTATTGATAGCATTAACTTTCCCAGATTATGAAGACTATTTTTAGTTATTTGAGGCGTTTATGGCGTCTAATGCTGTTTAGTTCGTAAGTGATTGACTTTACTTTGCCCAATGGTTTAATGTGTATTTTAATGTGTCTTTTAGCTTTGGTTATCTGGTTATTAGCAAACCTTAACGTGCTCGCTAACTAAGGCACTTAAACGTTAGCAAGCAGGCTAACTAATGAATAGTTGGCTATGTGTGAGTGTAGATAAATGCTACACTGCAGTCGGGTAGCTTTGTGTGTTGTCTGCAGGATGTTTAAATGATTTAAAGGAATAGTCAACAGACAGCGATTTTAAAACAAACGCTAAGCTATCACTGTAGCAGAGTTAGCATGATGGAATGACGGGGAGTGTTTTGACAGCTGACACCCCTCTTCCCTGTCCCGCTGTGTGTTTTAGCTGCTGAGTGTGTTAGCATAGTCTGTATGTGAGGCTGGTCCGAAAGATGGCCTCGTCAGCTGTGAAATGTTAGCTTCAAGAAATGACTCGTCAGCATTCCTGCTGTCCCACTCTCTTTGAGGAGGAATGGTCGTGTTGATAACACTTTAGATGCGATGCTGATCGGATTCAACCCAATCACTTTAGAAATGGCAACTCCAGTAGTTCCCATATGATCCATAATATGGTCCCCTCCAACAGCTGTCCCCAACAGAGTGTTGTATTGATCTTTGTTATCAACTCCATCCTATGTGGGAACAGCACGCTGATAAGCGAGCAAGTCAAAATGACAGTAAATAAGTTGTTAGATTGGAGAAGTCCATACCTGCTTCATCTCAGATGGTTGAAAGTAACACAATTAAGTCTAATGTTGTTAGAGAGTCAGCAGTATAGTTTTCTGTCTGTCAGTATTGATTGCTGCACTTCTTACACCTATTTTTTCATTTCTTATGTGCTGATCAGCTGAAGGAGTTTCAGCAGAAGAGCTCTCCTACTAGTGTGGGAGTGGAAAAGGGAGGAGGAGGAGGAGGTGGTGGTGGAGGTGGAGCAGGGGCCAAAAAGAAGAGGAAGGTGAAGGGACTGAACCAACATGATGCATCTTCAACAGGCAGAAACTCTCCAGACAATGTAAGTCAGTCTGGACGGTCTTTCTATTTATTTTCCTGCTTGACATTTCGCCTTTGTAGGTCAGTCTTCTGTGTCATTCTTATGTCTGATTGATCAAATCTTGTGGAATCCTGTGAAATAGACATCATCTCTTTTTCCTTTTTTTAAACGCTGTATTATCATTAGAAAGCATTCATACTCTATGTGAGCTGGGCAGACAACATTCATTGTTGTGTGAATGTATATATCAAATTTAGAACTTTTTCATATGGACAGTGCCAGGCAAAGCAATAAACTCATGCTGCCATTTATCACAAAATATGTTGCCGCTTGTAAAATGATATGGCTGAATTACTATAAAGTTGGCAAATATTTTCCTTATTGCTATCAGTCACACACAGTACTGACATGTATCTGCTGACCTGAGAGGCCTGTACTACGAAGCCGGTTCAACCTAACCTGGATATGTTGGAGTTAGCCGGTTGGCCTAATCCAAAACATACGCGCTCTCGCTAAACGGTCCTACGACGCTGGTTATCAAGTGGATCGCTCAAGCCAGCCGTGTCCTATCTAGTTAGGTGCGCGTTCACATGAAAGGGGTGGTATTTGGAGCATTCGACCAATCTCAAACATGGACAAGCGTACTGACAGCGCAGCGCGTCATACTTCCGGAATGAAAAGTCAACTATAATATTAGTCATATGAAGAAGTTAAACTTTAAACATCCATGACTTAAACACTTTATCCAGGATAAAAGCCGCATAGCTGCACCTGCAAGGTGAATACAGCTGGTAAAAGAAAAGTGTTTAAACAGGTTTATGATATCACTGCCCCGTCTAAGACACGATCTGACTTTAATTACATTTGACTCGAGTGTTTCATCAACTTAATGTGTTGCTTAAAATAATACTTCTGCATACAGTATGTGACACTGTGAGTGTTGCACAGCCAGATACGGCTCAAGAAGCTGAATCAGATAAGGAAATATATGATACATTATGATGTGATATGATGTGATATGAATGATAATGGGACACATCGACTGCACTCACAGTGTCGCGGACTGTACGTAATGTTACTTTGATCTGGTTACTTGTGTTGTGGCAGATATTTACTTAAGCTTTCTTAACGCTAATGTTATAATAGTCAGATTGCTCTGAAGATGGGAGGTGATATTCTATTAATGTTCACGTTCACACAGTCGGTGATTTTCTGCCGACCGTCTTTCCTGCAACGGCAGTTTAAACTGTATTTCCTTTCTCCTGTAATATAACTTGATCGTTTTAAACTCTGCACACTGAGCTCTGATTGGTCAGCAGGCAGTGCTTTCACTGAGTTGATCTCTTAGCCTGCAACCTAACTTGCTCCGGAGCAGGTTAGCCGCTCAGCATAAGTTACCATGGAGATCTAGCCCGCTAAAAAGAGAACCAGCGTCGTAGGACCGGAAACCCCGAGTTTTCCCTGAAGTTAGCCCACTAAGCGAAAATCCGGCTTCATAGTACAGGCTTCAGGTGACAGGATAAAAATAGTGTTTGTCTAAGAAAGAAGACACTAGAATAGAGTCAAAATAGCTGACCCTGCATCGCAACCCCGCGATGAAGTGGACAGTGTTATGATGCAGCTAAGGATCAGGTATATTGAACATTTTCTACCTCTGACATCTATAACATTTTAATAAAAAGCACAGTCTACAGCTGTGTGTTCTGCTCTAAAGCTCATAACCAAATTGAGAGTGCGATTGAGGACACACAGTTAGCCATGTGACTCCAGCACACAGCTTTGACACACAGGTCAGTTGTCACAGGTTTTTAAAGCCTTACTGGAATCTGGGCAAGTGACAACTCTGCTGCTGAGTTACAATATTTCCCCCAAGCATGTTTGCTTTTGTTGTTTAGTTTTTTCTGAATAGCCTTATAGTCTGAATTAGACGTAAAACAGTATGATGTTCCTAGTAACCAACAAGTTTTGTTTATGGAATCATAGCAGAGGAAACATTTTACAATAATTGCCATACATAAAGATAATGCATTTTGTATAAATGTCTTACCCAAACCGTTATTTAGCTTCTAAGAAAGACAACACATTTAATGAAGGCTTTTTAAAATCTATTTTATTTGTAAAGGTAAGTCATAGGACAGGACAATAATTATTGACTTGGCAGATCAGGTGACAAGGGGAAATGTAAAAAGGTTAGTGTGTTTAGTTTATAGATGTAATTGCAGAGGAAAATGAAGCATCATAGGAAATGTAGTTAGAGATTATTCCAATCCACAAACACAACATTTGAACAAATGCAGCGCTGCCCCTCTGTGATTTTGATGACAGTCAAGGGTAATTCTGATTATTATTTGTAATTGGTTTAAAAAGATGCAGGAAATCTTTCTGACCTCTTGGACCAGTTTCTCCTTATTACCCATCCGTATTACTTCTAGACCTCCTCCTAGGATTTATTGTAGCAGGTTATACTGTTCTCTTCACCCTTTTGCATCTCTTTCATCTTCCTCCCTTGTTTCTTCTTCCTGTAGTTTGACAATATTCTGAAAGCACTTAGTCAAAGCAATGGAGTAGTTCTACCTCCTAATGGCAACAGTCAGGTGAGCGTCTGTCTCTCTTTCCTCTCTTTCTTCCTGCCATGACTGTGTTTTTCTGTCTCTGCATGACATTGCTGTAAATAGCCACTCTTGTGTGGTATCTAATATCTCATCTCGCTTCCCCATTCTAACCTCCTTCTTGCATCAGATGCACATGTGTTTTCTTTTTCACACAGTCCAGAAAGCATGGGGCACATTTGAAGTGCAAATTCTTGTATTGGTGCTTGGCTTTTAAATCCATGTCAAGAGAGTGCACTGTTTTTTCCCTTAGATTATGCCAATGATCTTCTAGAGTTCACCATCTCTATACAGCTGATTGTATGAGTATATGCATGCCTGTGAAATCTCTGTCTGGGTGCATCATGCAGGCATGCTTTTTAGAAAACAAAATGTTTGTTTGTCTCACTTTTTAAAACATTTTTCATTGCTACCCTTGTGTTTGTTTGTTTGTTTTAGCTTTTTAACTGCCTGATATACATGCACTCTTAAGAGGGTTATTTTGTTGTTACAGATTATTATAAAAATATTGCTTATGATAGCTTCAGAGTAAGCGAAACAGAGAGGGATTCTTTGTCAGTCATTTAATTCCACGTTGGCATTTAAACAGCATAGTTAGAGTTTGTTCAGTGCTTTTATTCTACTAACGTTTCAAAGACTGCCATGGGCAGAAATGTTTTGAAAAAGTATTGGCAGCAGCGTAACAGCTTTATATCTTTCACCATCTGTAAAAGAGCCTGCATTATTTGCTCTGTTAGCAATTTACCAAACAATTGATAAAAATAGACAAAATCCCTGCATTTTCCTATTACATTCTAATATCATCCTAGGCTGTGGACTATCATATCTGTACATTTCACAGAAGATTGAGTCTGAATGTATCTATTCCAAAATAATAAATATAAAAGCTTATAAAGTTGCATAATTTTGGCCTCCATGTTTCTGTTGCATCATAACTGCTTGTTTTCTTGGCATTAAACCAGTGTGTGCATTTGTTGTGTGTGTGTCACATCAGACCTTTGCTGACGTGGAGTCCGTCGGGTCACCAGTCCCCCAGCTGCTGGAGGACCCGAAGGCAGAGCCTGACCGCGGCTCGCCTGTGCCTAACCCCGCTAGCGCTAACACTCCTACTAATCCCGAGTCTGTCGGTCACAACACTGACCTGCAGGTGTGTGTCTTTCTGTCCGTCACTATCTCTTTGTCTCTGTTTCTCAAGTCATATGTTGTATTGTCACCTTTAAACCTCCGTATCTCTCACTTCGGAGCATAATTACAGTCTATTGCCAGTTGCTGCATTTTTACTGATATATGTGTGTGTTGTAAAAACAGAATTACTGTTTCTGTTAGGTTGTACAATGTGAATTTCTCACCACACAAGTTATACATTTTATTTTTATTTTTATTTTACCTTTATTTAACCAGGATAGGTCTCATTGAGATTAAAAATCTCTTTTTCAAGAGAGTCCTGGCCCAATAATGGTAACAGCACAGTTACAGGCAGTTTTACAGTTACAGACAATTAAAAAACACACAATCACAACACAGTCATACACCAAGTTTAGCCAAAGCATTTACAGACACAGCGGCCTGCTTCAAGGTCAGTTAAAGTTGCTTTGAATGTATTTAATGAGACCAGCTCTCTGAGTTTCAGCTCAGTTTGAAGCAGGTTCCAAGCTTGAGGGGCAGCGTAACTGAACGCCCTTTTCCCCAGTTCAGTGGGGAAAAAAGTTCTCTGAGCGAAGCCGATAAGATCCAGTGCATTTTCTGTTTATGTACATCCTTAGATAAGGGGGAACATGTTCTGTGTTGCTCCTTCCTGTTTGTCTGTCTACTGCTCTCACTCTCTATTCCTCTATCAATCTTTCTGTAGGACTATACCGACACCAATGGCAATGGGAGTTTAACTGAAGAAAAAAGGTGGGTTACCTGATTTATCGCTGTCCATGACACCCTTGTATCTTTAAACGCTGCAGTTTAACACCCTGTGTTTATCATTTGGAAATATATATTTATATCAAGGGCAGAAAACGTCCTCTTGAAACAGCTCGTTCTATTAAGTAACTTTATCATCAGCACATTTTATATTAATGCTGCACTTTATGCAGAGACCACTTTAACATAATATTTGTCATTAATTAGGTATACAACTTAGTGAATGACTTGGATAATGTATGATTGATTATTTCTGTATTTTGCCTTGCAGACCACTGTCTTCCACAGAGAGCCTGCGACAGCTCTCACAGCAGCTGAACGGCCTGGTCTCTGGGGTAAGATTTCAGCAGCGCCAATGTCTTCCTGTCTCTCTAACACACTCACACACACACATATCTTTCTCATACATATAGTAAAACTTAACAATTAAACACCAACACTGATGAGCACTTTCATCCATGGTGTGATGCATCTATTCTTGGCAGGAATGCTCTGGAAGAATTTTAAAATGTGCCAGTTGTTCCCAAAGGCCTCACGCACACTAACAGCATCAACTGGTGCAGCTGCTTCATGTGTTTCTATTTGTTTAGTGCAACACATTATAGAGTTTGCTTGTTGTCTGTTTCTGAGACACAGTTAACAGTTTATTGCTTACTAACAGAAGTAATCAGACACTCATACAATCTGTTTTTCACCTTGAAATATATACAATTTTCCGTGTTGCATTGATGTGCTTGTCTTTGTCTTTTCAGTCATCTGCTGCGTATGTGAATGGAGACAGTCCCCCTGCCATGGGTGAGAGAGAGCTGGAGGTAAGATGGAAATCTAATATATTCTAAAACTATTAGTTAAAAGTAATTGAGGTCATGGTCTGTCACAAGAGCATTGAGGCCATGTGATTCACAGTAAAGTGGCTGCCCTGTAGCATGAGTACACCTAGGACTTCTTCATATTGCTGAAAGGGTTTGTTTTGGTAAAACTAAATAAAAAACATGAAGGTCCAGCTTGGGGACAGGTAATATCTATGTTGAACAATACAGAGCTAGTCAATTGTCAAGCACAAACAGTCCATTGAATGGATTTTAACAACCTTATCAACTTGAAGTGTGCACTGTGGAACTGTATTATCGAGGAAATGAGTATTGGATCGTGACTTGATATCAGCAGGTTCTAATAAAAAGAATGGTAAATAGCCATTGACATGTTACTGTAGCGCAGATTAGATTGTTAAAACTCTGGTGAGGGCTTAACATAAAGATCAAAAACACATTGTTACATCAATATACTCCATTAATCAGATTAACAACCATCATGTATTTTATGATATATTTCAATTATTTTATTCATGTTTTACACCCCTCATAAAGTTGCTATTGTTTGCTTCCATGTTAATAAGTCACAGATCGTCTCCTTGTTTGACTTTTGTCACAGCACAATATCCCTCTCTCCTTTTTTTTTTTCTCCTCCCGGATGCATGTGTGCACGTGATAGGGTCGGAACCAGGAGCTGTCAGCCGCCCTGGAGTCCAGCAACATAACAAACTCTCAGCTAAATACCAAGTTAGACCAGCTGGTAAGAGGCTGTGTGTGCGTCTATGTGTCCGCACGTGTGTGTGTGTGTCTCTAGTAACCCCCCCCCCCTTTCAACAGTCCCACATATATCACAGAAAAGCATGCCCTGTAAGCATTCTGCATGTCATCTTTATAACCACACTGGAATAAGACATGCATGGTTTTCATGTTTTTTTTATTTATCCTTCACGATGGTTCAATAGAATGCCTCTCTTTATTTGCACACTCTAGTCAGAGCTTCCATGGTAGACGCTTAATTGTAGCACACTAACAGCAGAAAACTTAAAGCTTCATATAAACCTAAAAGGTAAACATAACATAGATAACAGGTTTATTATTCATATACTTACGACTATCCCTGTCCTGTTAGGCATGCAGTTGAGGGATTTTGTGTCAGAATTTCTGCTGGTGTGATGAAATAAATGTTGATCTTTGCTGAAGTTAAACGTATATCCTGTTGGTCTGGCAGGCACAGCAATCTCAGGTGCTCTCTGAACAGCTGCAAAAGGTAAACTGATTATTTTTTTTACCTTGTCTGTTCATTCCTGTGTCTATTTTTCCAGTTTACTGAACTTTGACCTATTTCCCGGTGATTCATTTATATCATTTTTTATGTTCTCCAGGAGCGGAAAGAATTTGATCAGAAATCTTCGAAAGAGCAGGGAGCCATGCGGGAGCAATTACAGGTAACTTCTTCCGCCCAACACACACATTCAATTTGTAGGACGGTGTATTTTAAGAAGGAAGGAGCATTTAATGCATCCATGTAATGTATCAGTGTAAAATGTCAGAGTCCATGGTACCACCCTGATATATAATTGATACAAATGTTATCCGAGAACACAGCTTTCCCCCATTTGCTCACTCTGACAGGAGTTAATTATGTTCTCTGCATGCTAAGTTGTGTATTTAGTTTATATCGTGATTTAATAAAGAAGTTCATGTTTATGTCTTGAAACACCTTCCCTCTGTCGTCCATAGGTTCACATCCAGACTATTGGAATACTGGTATCTGAGAAATCAGAGCTACAAACAGCACTACAATACACACAACATGCTGCGCGGCAGAAAGCAGGTGTGTCTTTTTTAATGATCAGCCGTACATAAACTTGAATCAAAACTTCTAATCTTTGCAAGACTTGAGTTTACAGTGTGTTTGTGTCTTTGTGTGTGCAGCTGAGGCAGAGGACTTGAATAACCGTCTGCAGGGAACAAAGCAGAGAGTATCCGAGCTGGAGAGAACTCTCTCTTCTGTCTCAACACAGCAAAAACAGTTTGAAAAGGTAACCAACATCGCAGTGTTCACATCTAAACTGAAATCATTTAAAAGTGGTGTTATTAATAAATGTTTTCCTTTTTGTCTCCAGCAAAACAAAGAGTTTGAAAAGGAGCGAGACAGCCTGAGACTAGAGGTGTTTAGACTAAAGTAAGTCACTTAACTTTCACAAGGTGAAGGTTTTCATAACAATGTCATCAAAGAAAGATTAGTCATAAACCCAACAGATGGCGTGAGCAAATCTCCCAAGTCCTGATAAGAATCTGTAGTTTAGATGAACAACCTCTGCATGTGTCTGTGTTCGCAGCAATTTGAGTGAGGAGTCGAAGCAGCAGGGCTCAGAGCTGTCAGAGCAGATAAAGCTGAGAACACAGGAGAATGGAGCAATGAGGATGGAGTTGGAAGATCTTCGCAAGAGACTCGAGATAGCTGACCTCATGTTGCAACAGGTGCATTAAAACACAGACACACATATATACTGATCTTCGTCTTAACAATAATTACAAGCTTTGGACTTTATAGCCAATCTACAACAAAAAAGCCATTGTTTGGGATTTGTATCAATAAAGATCCCTAAATGTTTCTTTGCAGCCCGATTCGATTTTTTCTTATCATCTATTACCTGCATTTCATGTCAGTATTTGTCCTTTTTTTCCCCCTCCAGTGCTCCAGCCAGTCAGATCCCTCTAATGCCGCCCAGCAGGTCCAGTTACTGCTGGGAGAGAAGCAGCAGCTGGAGGCACACAATCACCAGGTCTGTGAACACGGAGGGTCTTTCTCCTACAGTTATCTGCATATGTGTTATGCTAGTGGCTAAACTTTTATTTTATTCTTCCATTATCATTAAAACAACTCAACATAATTGAATGCCCCACTAGTTTCCCTTCCTTTCATAGAAACATTCCTCAGCCAACCTCCTGTTCTCATCAGCCTCTTTCCTTGCATTTCACATTCCTTGCATCAAATGACCCATGAGATATCCCTTTGCCTTTCCTGCTTCTCCTAATCCTTTCCATATGTGATACAGAAAAGCAGCATATTAAAGGTGGGGTAGGTACGTTTGAGAAACCGTCTCGAGATACACTTTTTGTTATATTCCATGGAATGCTCTTAACATCCCGATAGCAATAAATATCTTAAAGTGGACCTATCATGCTATATTTGAATAATATAGTGTAGGACCATACCTATATAAGGCATATTTATACTTTTTTTTTTTTTTAAATACCAAACAGATCATGCATTTTAGCCATGCCTCATTTTGCTCAATTTGCAATTTTTTAGCTCTGTTTGTGCAAGGTCAGATTCAGTGAGAACAGCACTACCTACAGGCCTGGCATATGTACTACAGCGTCTCCAGCGATTTCGAACGGCAATGGCCGTGGCTGTCTCCTCCTGATTGGTGGAGTTGGCCCAATAGCCGTAGCGCCACTGTCCTGACGTCAGGACAGTGTTCAAATCTGGATCAGTTTTTATCAGATCCGTTGCAGCCCCTTTTTTAGAGATTTTGGTATGGAGGAAAATAGAGAGGGTTGTGTTTTCTGACACTTGGTGAGTTCCCTGGAACACCGGGGACACATATTCATGTATAAAAGACGTACAAAAGTGCATTTTGCATGATCCATAAAAAAATGTCATCTGTGGAAGCCGTAGTACTGTAAAAAGCACGACCAATCATTTTAGCCGGCCCGGCTAAAATAACTGGATGGCCTACCTGCCTGTCAGCCTTCCATCTGTGCATAAACTTATCTCGTGCCCTCATTGGTCATGTGCGCGTTCGTGTGTGTTGGAGGAGGGGCTCTATAAGGAAGTGGCAGATTTTCTCCGGTTGTGTATTTTCAAATTCTAGGGATCTCGAGACGGTTTCTCAAACTTACCTACCCCACCTGTAATACTTTTTAAAAACATATATTTTAAATAAACAAAGCGGCCTGTTGTATCTCTTATGATAATAAAGTCTTGCCATGTTGACCGTATTTATCCCTTAATGTTTTTGATGCTGTAGCTGATGGAGTCGATATCCCAGCTGCAGACGGAGAGAGACTGCTATGCAGAGCAGATCCAGGAGGAGGGCCGTGTATGGAAGGACAAAACAGAACAGCTGCTAACACAGGTGAACTACACGATAACATTAGCTTAGACATATGGTTCAATATATTTGAAAAACATTAGACTTATTGATTTAAATGTGAATCCCTGTCTCTGTGCAGGTTTCTTTGGTAGCAGAGGAGAGGGACAGAAACATCAACCGAGTCCAAGAACTGGAAGCCAGCATCACAGAGCTGCAACATGCTGCAGGTGAGAGGCCCACACTGCCCTTGTTTAATGCTTCAACCTGATCCTGGCTTTGACCTTCCTTAAGCTGCCTGTTTACGCTTGGTAAATAAAATGTCCGACTGCCTGACCGTAGTTGGATTTACAGAATGGCTCCCCTTATCTTGCAGCACTGTACACTTGATAAGGTGCTTCTAGGGTCAAGGGGAGAGCAAAGAGACTGATGTTTGACACTATTGTAAGCTGGTGTTGAAATATTAATTATCGCCCAAACATTTGTCTTTTTAAAGGCTTTAACGCCGTGCTTCAGTCTTTTTTCCCTCCGTTGCAGGAATAACATTGGTGAGGTTTCAAATAGTTTGAAAACTTTATTTTAGCATAATCTTAAAAACTTAAATATACTGTATATGATACTACTTGGGAACGTTTCTGGACACACATAAAGGCCGTCAGAGACTTTATCTAATTTGAATGTTTACCAAGAATTGCACACTTTTTCTTTTCCATTGCTGATATACCTTATATCCTATTTTGGTATTATTATTATATTACTTTTTCCATGCCATGTCTTTTCATGTCAATGCCAGGACCATGGAGGAGAGGGATTTGTTTATGCAGTGTACTGCCAATGTTTCTTTGTTCTGAATAGAAAATTAAATAAAAATTAGAATTACAAAAGAAAAGAGATGAACTGTATATGAGCTGTAGCATGCTTAATACCGGGCATACAAGGTATTTGTTATTGCAAAATGATTATATCTAATACCTGTCATTCTTCTTCTCCTCCTCCAGCGTTGTTGTCCCAGGAGAGAGAGGCTCAGGATAATGCGGAGCCTCAGTCCTCGGGGCCCTCAGAGAGCGAGGTGGCTCTGCAGGAGGCCCTCAACACTTTGCATCAGGAGAAAGACGCTCTCACTGCACAGTACCAGGCACAGGTATGCCTTACGCACACACTTAGAGCATTCCTTTTCTGCTAATGATTAGTTTATTTCTTGGATAATATTGGAATATTGTGTTCGGCAGTGTATCATGGTTCTGTGTCCCTAACATTTGAAAGCTATACCCATTGATTTGTTCTGTTTAATATTTCAACGATGGTTTGAAGTTGCTTATATTCCCCTCTGTTATCTTTCCCCCAGCTGCGAGATAACGAGCAGCTGAGCCGCATGTGTACAGAGCAGGAGACGCGTCTGGGAGAGCTGGAGCGGCAGTTAGAGAGCCAGGTCCAGGAGGACGGGGACCGCCGACGCATGTTAGAGGATGTTCAGTCAGATAAGGCCACCATTAGCCGAGCTCTCACTCAGAACCGAACGCTGAAGGACCAGCTGGCTGAGCTACAGAACGGATTTGTCAAACTGGTGAGGCTGTAAATCATTTCTCTGTAACAATAATTTGAAAGGTTTCTCACACATTTGGAGAGTACATTCATTGCTAAGTGTTAGCTCAGAGGGTGGGAGACTTTAATCCAAAATTCCTGTTACTCCTTCATTTGTGCAGACCAATGAGAACATGGAGCTGACCGATGCCATCCAGACAGAGCAACATGTGAAAAAGGAGCTTGCTCGCAGAATGGGTGAACTGCAAGAGGAACTGCACAACTTCAAGGAGCAGGTACACACAAAACACGGCTGAAGTTGTGTCATTTGTCAGTTTTAGCACCTTATCTGTCTTTACTATGCTTACACTATATCCTTTACAAACGTTATGTTTTAGATAATAATTATATCCCAGACAGTGCATTAACACAACAGAGAAATGTGTGATTATGGCATCCTGAAAAGTATTTAATAAAATGTAAGCAGTTGTTTTCTGCTTTCTTTGGCATTTATTTCCTCTTTGTTCCCTCTTCTTCAGCTGGAACAGAAGAGTCAGGACACTCAGGGTCTGATGGAGCAGAGGGACCAGGTGGCCGCCCAGCTGCAGCAGTACTGTGCCGGCTACCAGACCCTGGTCTCAGAGAGGGAACAGATCCACCACCAGTACCTGAAGCAGATCCAGCTCATGGACCGGCTGCAGCACGATGAGAGCCAGGGCCGCATGCACCTGGAGATCAGTCAGAATCAGCTCAAGCAAGCGCAGGTGTGCATTTCAGAAATAAGGCGTATGAAATACTTTAGTAAAAATCCTGCCCTAAAGCTCTTTATCAACTATTATAATATGAGAGTGATTCGAAAGGGTCTGGAGTCAGTGTATTACAGTATGTTGATACTATGTTGTGTAACCTCACATTCTGTCAATGTGCCTTACTTATCTCTGTGACCACAAACATACATCAATTCATTTGAATGACTCTCTGTCTCCCCCTACAGGATTATTTGGATCTTTTGGTCAAAGACAACGAGCAGCTGAAGGTGGAGGTGAAGGATCTGCTCAACAGTTCAGCACTTGGCTCGGCCAGAGACCAAGGTAAGATTAGTCTTTTACTCGTATGTCACTGGTACTTTTTTAAACCCTTTTCTTTTACTATGCTTATCCAAGCTTCTTCAGATTGCATATTTTGTATAACCTTTTGAAATGTAGTACCCAAAGTGGTTGTACACTACATGAATGTTGAAAAGGATCTGACACCCTCTTATAGTAGATCTTCATGACCTGCAGTTCCTGTCTTAATTTGAATGTGTCACTCTTTCACATAGGAGATGGAGTGGAGAGCCAGTCCATGCAAGAGAGCCCAGAGCAGTCCTCCTCCATAGTCATCCCAGAAGACTTTGAGAGCAAGAAAGACATGGTGAGGAGGGTGATGATTGTTCTTCACAAAAAACGACTCATTCAAATATGCTTAGATGATTTGTCGAACTTCCATTGCTTTGCCTTTTATGCCACATTATGGCCGCTTACATGATACATACAGGGCTATACCAGTTTAAATGATACATTGTTTGTAATGTAGGAGGAGTTTATCCGTGGAGCTTTGTCTCGGGTTGAGGCGGAGAGGGACGAGGCCAGAAGGCAACTGGAGGAGGAGCACAGGCACCACATGGCGGCCAGGCACCAGGCCTCTATGGCCCTCAGCCTGGAGCAGCAGCACCACAGCCACACAGATGTTCACGACCATGACCATCACCATGATCATGAGCATGACCACGAGCATCACCATGATCATGACCACGACCATGATCATCACCAGGACCATGATCATGACCATCCCCATGATCATGACCACGACCATCACCATGAACACGACCATCACCATGAGCACGATCCCTCTCAGGACCCACACAGTCACTGTGAACACGGCCATGAGCATTCAGGTGAGGAGGATAGGGTCTGTGAAAGCATGCAAATGTTTTTTATTATTATGTATAGACCTAGATTATAGTGTCTATTCTTAAAGGTCCCCTATTATACTCTTTTTCATCAATATATTATAGGTCTTAGATATATATACAAAACATTTCTCTGAAGTGTTTTGCTCGAAATACCAAACAGATCATGCATTGTAGCATCCCATAATCCCCTCTGTTTCAGCCCTGTTTCAAAAGTGCTGATTCTGTGTCTGTTAATTTAGATTAGCCACTCCCAACGCCCCTCTGCGAGATATTTGGTTAAAAAAATCTGCTCCAGGAGGCGATTTAGGTGATAAGGTGGGGGGTGTTACCTTGGTTGGTTATTGGCTGATGGTTACACAACCCAAAAAAAAACGTTATGACATCGCAAAGTAGCCAAAATCTGATCAGCTCATTTTCAGACAGGTTTTTATATAAATGGATCAGGACAAAAAACGAGCAAATATCTTTTCATGAAACTTTCAGAATCTCTTTACACAAAGGGGACACATGCTTATGTATAAAAGACATGAACAAGTGAATTTTGCACAATAGGTGACCTTTAAAGTTAAGCCTGATTTATATTAGATTGATTTATAAAGATGAGAAAGTATCTGTGGTGCATTAGCTAAACCATCTGTATACTTTACAATCCCGCTCCCAGAAGGAGGAGTGCCGGTGGAAGTTCATCAGGCTCTGCAAGCTGCCATGGAGAAGCTTCAGCAGCGCTTCACCTCCCTCATCAGAGAGAAGGCCGACCTGAAGGACAGGGTGGAGGAGCTGGAGCACCGCTGCATCCAGCTGTCTGGAGAGACTGACACTATCGGTGAGACAGTGGGATTTATTTGTTGTAATACTTTTTGGAAAGATTTCAAAACTCATCATCCTTCTACCTTTGTCTTTCCAGGAGAGTACATAGCCCTGTACCAGAGTCAGCGGGCCATCATGAAGCAGAAGCACCAGGAGAAGGAGCACTACATCAGCATGCTGGCCCAGGACAAGGAGGAGATGAAGGTACTGTGAAGCAACCTTTTGTTATTTAAAAAAATAACCATCAATCACATATTTTGCTGTATGTTTTTTGCTCCGTTTTCTGTCAGTAATCGTTTCTCTGTTGTCCCTCAGGCGAAGCTGGCGGAGCTGCAGGACCTGGTGATGAGGCTGGTGTCTGAGAGGAACGACTGGTACAGCCGCTACACCGCAGCTGTGGCAGGAGCGGGCTCAGTGAACCCCGACCTGCTTCCTGTTGGGGAGGATCACACACACCAAGAGCACCAAGCACATTCACACACACATCTTAATGCTGACAGCGGAGCAGGTAGGCACAACCGGTATTACTGTATGTCATTGCTACATCTTAAATGAATATACTAATTCCAAGGTTGGTCGAACGGTTAAATATGTCCCCTTTTAAAGCTAAATGTACCTAGGGCAGCCAACATTTACCTTAATCAGGAACTGTTAGATTAATTGTGCAGTGAAACTGGACTTCACTAAACAAACTAAGGTCAGCAGTTAGCTATCAGAATTATTTTACTTGTCCCCAAGTGGGAAAATATAATTGTAACAGCAGCAAATGAAAGGCCAACATTGAAAAAGGATGGCAAAATATTAAATAAAAGAGAGGCAGAATAAAAAAAACGTACACAAACAGTTAGAATTGTAAGTCGCACCATAATGTAAGTGAGCTAGAATACAGTAGTTACAATGATACATAGTCAAACTATATATTGCACTTAATGTAAATGATATGTCTGGTGTCCTTTTGTGTCCACTTGCTCCTATTATTAAGAATACATTCTGTATAATTGAACCATGCCGCTCTTTCTCTCCGCTGCAGAAGCCATGGAGGTCATCCCTCTGTCGGAGCCCACCCCCGGCCTGGAAGCCCCCTCGTCACAGGCCCAGTCGAGTGGGACGTCCCAGACTGACTCCAAGTCCCTGGGGCCCAAAGAGGACGGCACAGCCCAGCAGATCATGCAGCTGCTCCAAGAGATCCAGAACCCCCAGGGAGCGCTCAGGTCACCCCCCTTCCTCGGGGAGAACCCCTGCATCCCCTTCTTCTACCGGCCTGACGAGCAGGACGAAGTCAAGATCCTGGTGGTGTGAGGTGTGTGTGTGTGAGACAGAGGTCGATGTGTGTGTATGAGATATTGGACATGTCTTGAAGTCTGGGGATTATTGAACACCACAGTTTGTAGCTTGTTGATCATATACTCACAAACACTCCTGAAGAAATATGGCACCCTGCAACACTGGTCCCAGAATGTGTTTGACCCGGTTACATTAAAAACACCCCCTCCCAGTTCTGTGTGGTGGCACTAATGTGCATGGTTAAAAAGAGAGTATTATCTATTTGTTGTTTACTACGTTGTCTTTTTTGTCTATGATGCTCTTCCCAGAGAGATAACCAGTATCTGATTATTCTCCAAACCACCATTTTTATTCACCATCCCTCGTCTCCTATTTTACACATAAGTGCAATAAAGGGGCCGTGTATTGGGTCTCCTTTCTGATACAGTACCTAAAGAGCTGTTCAAAATAAGGAGCCTGTTTGTGTGCAACTTCACTCTAGTGCAAATATCAGTTTTACAAAAATTCATTGTACAAATGCCAAAAAAGAGCATCACGTTTGAATGTAATAACCCGGATATTTACCCGTATGTTTGTGTGATGAGAGGAGAGCTGATGATGGTGGTGAAAGGGTGCACGAGGAGAAGAGAGATGCAGAGTGAGATGTAAGTTAAAAGTCAAGTTAAGAGTGCACATAATAGCTTTTGAATTGTTAGCGCTGTTATGTAGTCAAGTCAAAAGCTTGCTAGTTACATGATGAGGTTCAGAACAGATGGATGCAGGTGTCGCAGATCGGTACTGTTCCTTTTCTCTACCTTTTAGCTCCTCCTCCAAACACTGAAAACCATCGTCTGTCTGTACAGTGTGTAATGTTAATACATGTGAAATGTTTGTGTTGTGATGTCAAACATCCTGTTAAACTGAGAGAAGGAGGGGATAGATGCAATTTAAAGACCCCATGATAAAAGAAAACACATTTAAGTCAAAGTTGTTAAAGAATCTTTTGTAATTATTTATAATTCAGAACAATTATAAAGCTGTGGTTGCTGTGCTTTGGGCTGCTTTCCGCATTGTCGTTTTTTCCCAGTTGTACTTTATCTTTGTCATTAGCATGATAGAGATACGGTGCAATAACTCGAGGGATACAGGAAGTATGGTAAATTCTCTTTATCTGCACTCATAATTCATCTTTCTTCTTCAAATTTCCTTAATCTCAGACATTTTGTTGGCCTCATCAAAAAACGTCCACTCACTATTTATTTATTTTGTTCCCTTATCAAAGCTGCTCATCCCGAACCATAACTTCATGGGGTCTTTAAGTTTCTAAACACATTGACACTATTGATAAGAACCAGTTTCTTCCAGTTACATTTGCTTGTAGTTCCACATATCAAATATGAATGAATGCAAATCCTTTACAACTGGACTGTGAGAGTGCGTGATGCGTGTGTGTGAGATCCAAACTGTTTCCTCTCCAGACGAAGCTGCATCTGTTGTACTTTTTTGTAGAGTTCTATCAGTTTATAAGATTGCACTAAAACTGTACAAAGCTTCTCATTCGGCTCTGTCCTTTGTGGCTGGTTGGACAGTGGTAGAGCTTCAAAGCCTGTTTAATACATTCTGTGGAGGAAACGTTGAATCCTATGAAGCCACACCAAAGCTGAGGGTTCCAGCTGATGCAAATGATTGAAAGTGTGTGTGTGTGTGTGCAGTGTTGCACTTGGAGGATGTATTGTAAATATGAACAGAAGGAGCATGTGACGTTATTCCCAAAGCTGTGGGAATAAATCAGAATTTGTGAAAATGAACATCTCTTTCCGAAACTAGTCAAACGTGTTGTGCAACATGTGCATTTTCTTTTGGGCATTGGAAAGGATTTTTTCTGAACTTAAGATGTTGCAAGTGCCTAGCTTTACATGAGAGATGCTCTTGTTCATAAATGTAGATTGGCGGATGGATTGATTTGATGGACACTTCTTCACTGTAAAGCTCTTTCCCTTTGCTACTAATAACTAAGAGTTATCACGGCTTAAAATATCCATTTAAGGACCAAATCATGGCAAAGGCCTTTTTTTAGAGTCTTTCCATGGTTTGAATATGCAAGGACATGAGGGTCTTACTGCAAATCTTACTAAAATCCCACTCACTACTTTTGGAGGTATTTTAACCTTCTCATTTGGATGTTTTTGAATTTTAAGATCCTCTGATGTGTTTTACTTTCAGGTAGAAGACACATTTGTTCGATTATTGAATTGCACACTTGATATTTATCACTGAATGCAACAGGACAGAAAGTGTTAGTGCAAATTGTGGTATTTTTTGCCTATTATAGAACGAAAAAGTCATATGTGGAGGCCATATGTACCTGGTGTTTTTTACAGGCAAAGTAAACATTGTTGCGTCTTCCCTAAACCACAGCACTTTGATAGTACCAGGTGGTTTTGGGATAAATGTACTTAATCATTCTTGATTTAAAAATTCCTCGCTTCTTAGCATTCTGTCACTTTTTGGTTTCCTTTGAAACATGCCACAATATATATTTTTCCTTTATTTAGTTTTTGGTCTAACCAAAAGGTAAATATACAATAAAAATAACTTTAGTGTTTTTGCGGGGCTTATGAAATCAACTGGGATAAAATTACTTTCCATAATTTCGAATTCCCTGTTAAATATGTAATGCGTGATTGAAACGAAAAGCAATGGGAAAGCATTTATTGTCTTTACTGGAAAAGAGGTGGTGTAAATACTGTAACTGTGTAACATATTGTATATTCATTATGCCTGGTGTGTGGGGGAAGTGCTGCTCTGCCATGTTCACTGGCAGTGCGGACTGTGTGTCTGAAGTTTGTTCAGAGTCGAGGTGTGGGCGGTTACTGACTGGCTGTGATTTAATACAAAGATTGACTTAAGAAAATATTCTATTTATTTGGAATAAGTTAGTATCTCAACTAATCAGTTTTAATGTAAAATAGAAGTGGATGGAAATGAAGGATCATTCAGAGAACTGATTTGTTCGAGGGCTGCTTCTGACAGAAGCTTTCTGATTTTTTGTTTTGTTTCCCTTGAGTAATATTTTCTCTCCTTCTCCTGAATAAAACTGATTGAGCAACTTGAAAACATTGTGTGTCTATTTCTCCATTATTTGGATACTCTGAAACGTTGGGCTGTTTGACATAAGAGAAAAAAGGAACAGGTGTTGCTAATAATGTTAACGACGGGGGGGGCCATAAGCTAAATGGATTTCATCGTTTATTTGATTATTTACACCTGGGCTTTTTCTATTCCTTTTTAAGTGCAGACATTCTGAAAAGCACAGGTGTAATACATAGCATCAATCACAAAAACATTCAACTATGGGATGCCAGTTTATTGTGCAGGCTGGCTCTCTGGAATAGCTTTGATTGAGCTGAACCTTAGTTAATGTTTTAAGTAACACCTGTGCTTTGCCTCATATGACAAGTCAGAAGGCTGCTGTGAAAGTGGCCTTCCTTTTACTCACTCATTATCACAATGAAATACTACACTCAGAAAAACTTGCTAATCATTTTAAAACCATTTGTTATTGTGAATTTGAAACCCTTAATTCCGGTGGCAAAATGGACTCATATTTTTCACCTTTTGGATACTGTATTGTGGCTAAAGAAAACAATATTAATACTCCAAACCAGTCCCTTCGTGGCTTATAATGAAACTGGTTTCTTTAATGTGTCCTCATAATTTCGTAATTTATTCATCTGCTGATAATTCATTTCTAAAAGACCAAGCTTATGTATGCAAACGTAAAAAAAAACATGTGTCCAATACTTGGGTTTAAAGGTACATAAATAACATCAACTGCAGCACTAACTATATTTTGTGAAAAGTAGGAGCCTTCTTTAGCAAAAGAAGTTGCCGCGCTAAGAGGGAACATGGTAAACATACTATTGCTACCTGCTAAATTAGCATGTCATGTCATGGTCCGGCAGTGGCTCAGTCAGTAGGGGCTTGGACTGTGAGCCGTAGGTCCCCGACCAGACCTAAATATGGAGTGTGGACTGCTACTTGGAGAGGTCCCAGTTCACATCCTGCCCTGCCGTGGTGCCCTTGAGCAAGGCACCGGACACCCCCCTTCCCCCCTCACTCCCATTACTCCCCGGGCGCTGTACAATAGCTGCCCACTGCTCTTAGTACCAGACTCCTGGTACTAGGATGGGTTTAAATGCAGAGGCCAAATGTCACTGTGTGTGCTGTGTGCTCTGCATGTGTGACCATTAAAAGATTATATTCTATGTTAGCAATGTCTGTGTAAACATGCTAGGATATCGATGTTAGCATTTAGCTCAATGCACTGCTCTGACTTAACAGTCCCCCAGAGCTGCGAACACTTGACTAGTCTTGTAGTATATGAAGAGTGAATATTTCAACAAAATTACAGATTTGTAGATAACTTTTTTTTATTTATTTTAAAATGAAGTTCACCTGCCTGAATAAATACAAGATAGCTGTTGTGAACATATTATAAACGACCATAAAGAGAAAAAGAAGAAACAGAGGAAACGTCATTCAGTACACTGAGGTTTTTAATGGGTTGACAAAGCAATCCTGTTGGGTAAAGTCATCATTTCATCCACAGCAATTTAAACATATGCAGGACCTGCTGATTTCTGCAGTCCAAAAATTCACACTCTCTTTCTGCTCTTCTACACACAGAGAGAAACAAGAAACAAAAAAATACCTCTCTGTTACTATCTTACAGTAAGTTTGAAACCTGCTAATGTCCTCATATATAACCGCATTACACATTTGTATACGTTTTTCCAATATCATTTCCTTATACACATACTCATTTAATTTAAATATTCAGCAGACTAAATTCTCTAGACATTGGTATAGCACAAGTCTCATAAGATGCACCACACATATACATAATAACACAATAAGATATGTCCAAGTTAAACTATTTACTGTTAAATAATAACTATAATATGCTTTTTTGTGTTTCTGTTGCAAGGGATCACTGAAGTGGTTTTTAAAGATCAGTTAGGTACAGAGCTCGGTTTTTGAGGCCGGTGGGTTGGTAATTCTTGCTTGGGGTCAGAAAAACAACATCACACTGACAGCAGAGTTCAGGTGCAAAAGTGGTGAAAAGGTGAGTTGAACACACACGTTCTCAGACAGCAATGCGAGGGTGAAACAGGAGGATAGTTTAATGCATAGACTGTAGCTGTTTTCATGATCTCACTCACCCCCGTGACCACTGAGAGAAGGAAGAAAGAAAAGAAAAGAGAAAATAAATAGCCGATCATGAAGATAAAATGTAAAAGTATTCCTGTCAGTATCAGAGGGTTTGATGCATGATGCAATTGACTTAGAAACACTCCAAATATTTGAAACCTTTCCCATTAGGGACCTCATTCCCTCTGATTAAAAAGGATGTATCCGGAGCTCTCTACAGTCTCAGGGTGCGACCCAGGCCACAGATTCCCTTCCTCTCAGATTAAAATGTACTGATTGTTGTGTTACAGTGGCATGCAGCTGTCTGCAGAAGGATATTCCATATATTGCACTTTCTATTTAGATCCCGCCTCAATAAGTTAACGCAATGACAAAGTGTTTGTGAAGAGAAGAGGAGGAAACGGGGGAAAAAGAGCCCCTCTTTATGCCAATACAAATAGATTTGCATTGTTGCATAGGTTCTGTGGAGGCACAGACGACAGTGTTTTTAAGAGGTGGTTGTGACACAGGCATGTGAATTGGCTTACGGGAGTGTACTACAGGTCCTTCAGATTATCCCTTTACTAGTGCAAGGGGAGAAAAGAAGAAGGAGGGACAAAAGGATGAAGGGCATCAGCTCCTGTCTGTGCAGGTATCTGAAGTCATGGAGTCTGAAGGGAATCCTTTCCCCCCTTATTTCATTCAATCCTTTCTTCCTTGTGTAATATGAGTGAGTGATAGTGAGTCTGTTCCATACTTGATCAGTGGATATCAGGGAGAGATTCAAAGAAGAGGAGGGGAGGAATATAAGCGACACGTGACTTAACAGAGAGCAGAAGTTCAGTGAAGTTTTAACAAAACAAAATATTTAGTTTCCAGCTGATTAATTCCTCATAAAAAACATGTATTGTCAAAATAACTGCACTGAAGAATTTGCTCAGGACATTCTGATCTTGATTTTCCATTTGGTGTCAGTTTATTTTACAGTAGCTATCATATTTTTTTTACCCAGCTTTGAAGACGTCTGATTAAACACTTTTTACTTCAAGCATGACCGGCAATATAAGGTGAGTTAGTCACGCAAAGAAACACAAAATAAGACAAATGTTTAAGAGTAAAAATGAGGTCAGTCAGCAGCCAGGTTACTCATCAGAAAGGCTGGAGTATAATGTAATACTCAGGCATGCTAAGTCTCAAATGTCTTCCACCTTAGGTTTAATAGCAGGATGTAAATATATACTGTATATTTTTGGGTATTTATATAGGCAGTGTGCATGCACATGTGCGCATACACTGTACAATGTATAAATTATTGTATATTCTTTACATTGTTTAAATTCTGCAGCATGGTCGTATGTCAGTCATGCAAGTGTGTTTCAAGTATTCTGCAACTCTGTGTGAGACAGAAGGTGTGTGTGTTTGTTTGCGTGCATGTGTGTGTGTTTGCAGGAAAGGGAGCAGGAGAAGGGGAGCCGGCTCAGGTCGGCTGTGGAAGGAAAACGACAGGAAGGTGGCGCTGCTGTCCACGGCTTCTCATCCAGAGGTGGGACAGAGGACGGGCGGGGAGAGGGAGGAGCTCAGAGGTCTAGTGGGTTGGAGAAGGGGGGGGTCTCCGACTGCCATGGACACACAAACGCACAGGGACAGACACAAAGAAGACAGGACGGGAACAAGTTGGATTAATGTTCTCTAGGTGTTTGCAGTCTTCGTTTTAAACTCTGAATTATAGTTTATACATACTTATTGTTATTTAAAGGCCCCCATGTGTTACTCATGCACACAAATACAATAACCTTCACTCAAACAGTCACTTATATCATGAGATAACACATGGAAGAAACCCCCAAAACATAACCAATATCACAGAGATATCAGGTACATGACTGCATTGCAGATATGTTAGCATTAGATGCCAAATGCAGGCATTATTATAGTGTTGTCTAAATACATGCACTTAAACAGACCTCTATTTATTAAACTCTGTTGTTGTAATCCTTATAATAATCATATGGTGTTGCAAAAACCCTTAATACACTTAACAAACTCTAAGAAAATAACTACAATTACATTTGAGGGGTCATAATTAAGCATTTTTTTAGATGCCTGAAAAGGTAAAACTATCATTTTTCCTTTGAAAGATGTTTGGGGAATCACCTGCAGTGCTACCTTAAAGCACTTTGAATTACCTTGTGTTGAAAGGTCCTATATAAATAAACTTGCCTTGCCTTGCCTTGCCTTGCCTTGCCTTGCCTTGCCTAAATTATAAAAAATATTGAACGTGGAGATTGACAGATGCCATGACTTTAAACAAAAATATTAGACAACTGGAGACAAAGTTGAATATCATGGCATACTACCTCACATACAACACCAACACAAGAACAACCATTCATTTCAGGTTTTGGAAAGTTAAGTCCTGTCTCACTCATTGATGCTGTAATCTAAGATATGTCCTCTTTTACAAGACACAATAACACAACCGACACCACCTAATAAATGAACTAGCATCGCATCCAAAGTCAGCCCAAACACTGAAGCAAACACACACACCCTCAGCTCCGACCTGGGTGTGTGTTTGCCCATGCAGCACTCTGAGAAGAGAAAATTGAAAGTGAGAAAAAGAAAATGGCATGCAGTGAAAAGATGCCTCCTGAGAGGAAGAGAAAGAGGGATGATGATGATGATGAAGATGCCGGAGAGTACCAAACATACCAGAGACTCCTCATTTGTCAGTGATTGTGATTCTGTAGAAGGAACAATAGTCATGTGTGGGACAGAGGTGTGGTGAGGGAAAGAGGGATGAAGAGGAGGTAAAGAGAAAAGGAGTGCAAACAGTTACAGTGCAGGAAGAGACAAACGTCGCATGAGCTGAGCTCTCACTTCGGACAGACCAGAATAAGTGATGGAAAGATCTTTTGATTAAGAG